TGTAATGGAATAACTTTACCAATTTTGAGTATTTCCGGATAGATACCTTGATGAAAGATTTCATTGATTAAGGATACTAATATCGGCATTATGGTCGTTTTCAATGTCAGTATGTCTCTTGTATTGATTTGATCATGTCCTGGCGCTGCATTTTTATTCAATTCATTCAGTGTCTCCATTACTTCCGTCTCGTTAGTGTCACATAATATTATAGAGTTATTATTCCACACCTCCTCAAAGTTTGTTATATCGTAGTTGTTAATGTTAACTATGTTGTTTGCTATACTTTTTCCTATATTTACAAAGTAATTATTAAATGTATTTGCTATGGCTTTCGTATCACAAATTTTTTCCTCATCCTGTTCAATATATTCTATTTCATTCTTTACTAATTTTCCCTTAACCATCTCATTGATTAGTTTCCATTGTTTTTTATTATCTCTTCCTGTTTTTTCCCATCGTTTTGCAAAGTATTCTTTTTTGAGCATCTTCCTTTGATTATTTACAATATTTTTTTGCAATCTGAATTGCCCTTGAATTATTTCATCAAATGGGTTATTTATTTTTATTTTATATAGCCTATCCCTTACCTTCATCTGATTCAAGAACTCTTTGGTTATCCAATCATTTCCATCTCTGTGTTTTACTTTATATGAATTTGTTGCCTCTTTTTTACTGGCTTGAATTGCTGATATCAAAAGTTCAAATGAATTAATTTCTTTCTCTGTACTGGCTTCTTCAAATTTTTTTTTGAATAATGATTGATTAAGTACTGAGTGATTTTTCATAATTTTCTTCTCTTTAGTTTTTACCTTTTCGACGACAACTACCTCTAATATATTATGATCTGATACATATTTATCACTAACTCTAACATCACAGCTCATTTTTTTGTTTGAAATCACATGGTCAATTATTGACTTTGATTGAGTAGTTACTCTTGTTGCATTTTCACTATTTATTTTGTTACATATTTTAAAACCATTAAGTGTAATTGTATTTTTGTAAGTATCAACCTCTGGTGCTGCATCATTCAATAAGTTTACATTCATATCCCCTATTAGGATCGTCTTTTGATTATTTTTACTTAAAATTCCATCCAATTCAATTATGAAGTCCTTGACAGGTAAAGACGGTGGTCTATAAAGAGCACATAGTCTGATATTGCTTCCACATAGGTTAATACTTACAAAATTCAGGGTATGATCATCCTTTGTGGATTCCGTTGTTTCAATGTTATACTCTATTGAATCTTTGATATATATTGAAGATCCTCCTCCTTTAGAATTTCTACAAGAATGAGTACTGCTGTAGCCACTAATTTGAAAATGATTTACTTCATGCCTGTGAAACCATGTTTCTGTTATCACCAATATATCACAATTTTTTTCTTTCACATAACAAAGAATGTCATCAAACTTGTTTCTGGCACTTTGGGCATTCATATACGAAATGTTTAACCCGTTATGTTCCGTTTGGGACGCTGCAAGTTTTTTAGATCGGTTTCAGCTTCTACTATTTGTATCTTGCTTGATTCGTCTTTTCTCACCAGAATAGATCCATTTGCAAACCATACGTATTTGTAGTCATTATCTTTTTTGAATTTTCTTGCCAACATATAAAGGTACTGATTTCGTTTGTTCATATCATGATTTACGTATACCAGATCCTTATTTGTGCCAAGTCCTAATTTTTCTAGTGTGATCTTCATTTCCTTCTTAGCTTGCATAAACTGTTCTTTGTCAGTTTTATTACCAAAACATACCTTGATTGGTGCATCTTGATTTTCTTTATTACCTATATAATATATTAATATCTACTGAGGAACTAGAAATTATTAAAATTCATGACTAAATCTTGAAATTTCTCATAAGTGTTATACTGGGTGTCTGTAAAAGGTCTTCACAGAAACATACCACATATTCCCTAGACCAAAATAAGTCGATTTAAGTAAAATTACATCAATACAAATTTGCATCGTTTGGGCTCCAGGGGGCCTTGAAGTTACAATTTTTAAATCGTTTTTCCCATATGAATTTGAAACGGCATATGCGATTTTGCTGGAATTTGGTATTTTGATAGAGTTTTTTGTGGCAAAAAAATGCTGTCAAAATTTTGTCCGATAATAATAAGTAGGCGTAGAACTTGATTTTTTAAATACTTGCACCTTTGAAAATTCTACGCCAATGGAAGAAAAGGAGTTTGAGTATGAAATTTAGATTGTGCAACTCATTTAGGTACTTCAAAAAAGGTACTCGTGATAAGACTCGGTTGCTCTCATGGTTTTGACGAAATTTGCATTTTAGTGATTCTAGACCATATACAATAATTATTAAAATACAAACTTTGTCAGAACCATGAGAGTAAATCGAGTGTTATTAAGGATACTTTTTTGTAGTAAATGAGTACCCAATCCAAATTTCACACTCAAACCTCTTTTCTGCCATTGTCGTAGAATTTTTAAAGGTGCAATTATTTAAAAAACAAGTTCTACGCCAATGGCAGAAAAGGGGTTTGAGTATGAAATTGGGATTGGGTACTCATTTACTACAAAAAAGTACCCATGATAACACTCGATTTACTCTCATGGTTTTGTCAAAGTTTGTATTTTAATAATTATTTTGTATGTTCTAAAATTACTAAAATGCAAATGTCGTCAAAACCATGAGAGCATTCGAGTCTCATCAAAAGTAAATTTTTTAAAGTAAATGAGTTGCGCAATCTGAATTGTATACTCAAACTCCTTTTCTTCCATCGGCGTAGAATTTTTAAAGGTGCAATTATTAAACAAATCAAGTTCTACGCCTATGTTTTATTATCAGACAAAATTTCAACACCATTTTTTTTGCCACCTAAAATTTCATCAATATACCAAATTTCAGCAAAATCGCATATGCCGTTTTGAATTTATATGGGAAAAACGATTTAAAAATTGAAACTTCAAGGCCCTCTGGAGCCCAAACGATGCAACTTTGTACTGAAGAAATTTTACTTATATCGACTTATTTTGATCTAAGAAATATGTGGTATGTCTTTGTAAAGACCTTTTATTTCTAGAAAGTGCAGAGCATCAATTTTTCAAATATAAAAAAATATACAGGGTGTTCCATTTGAAAAACCATAACTTTGGGTTATATCTGAATAATAACAGCTGATTCTGAAAATCTGACTGTGCCACTAGATTCTACATGAAAAAATGAGTAGAAGGGAGTTTTTACTTTTCTGATTAGTTGAAAGATAAAGGAAATACAGGAGGGGTCGTAAAATGCAACGTTTCCAATTTCGTCTTGTATCTCAAAAGCAAAGGGAGTGATGATTATTCCGTTTGCGGTATCGCGAGTTTTGCAAAAAAGTAGCCAACGTTAGCGAAAACCGCAAATCTATCTTTGAAAATAAGTGAGATATCCCATAAGGACATTGAAAATGAGACAGCCTGTACAAAAACGCGGAAAACGCGTGACGAAATTAATTCTCTATGTCTGCAAGACAAGACAAGAGTATTTCTAATTGTTATTTTTATCCCCGTTTTTTATTAAAATATGAAATTAATTTTAGAACTCAACACACAACTGAAAAATCAGATAATATGAGGATAATCTTTGAATATTCGTAATATTTGTTAGATTTGACCCTGAATTGACCAGATGATAGGTTTTGGAGATGAAGGTGACAGACAAGGATGACGTAAGCAATTTGGGTTAGAATTCTTTCATTTCCTTGATATTTCTGTGAACTCTAGGTGTTACACTGATGCCAAGGTCACAAAATTGTTTGTGTTTTAAAAAAATCTCAATCATTATTAGGAATATTAGGATTATCTTATCAGCACTGAAGAGGATGATCTATTTCAGTCATGACTTTCATGCTAGATATTTCTGATACCTTTGAATTATTCAGTGCCATCTTCCTAGAATCGATGTATATAGAATGAGCATATCCTAGGATTTTGTAACTGATGGTTTTATAAATATTTGTTGCTGTTCTTTGCTTCATTCCTTTGTTCTTAGGGGTTGAACTCAGAAATTGTTTGGCTATACTTTATTTTTATCAACTGGGTACAATGCTTGGAGTTCAATTTGTAGTCTATGTGTATGTATGTTTGGCAATTGCATTGCATATTTTTATATGAAGGAGAATGCAAATTCTCTACCTCAGAAGATTTTGTTTTCAAATTCTTATTGTGTGTATTCAATAGATGTAATTCAATATTTGTGGTGGCATATAGCCAGGAAAGTAGTTGTTTTCTGTTGAATAAAGCGAGAAAGAATTAATATTTTCATCACATGGAGAATGCAAATTCTCAATGTATTTCTTTACATATATATTCATTTTTTTGTGTTCATAAATATATCTGAGAATATTCCTTTTCAATACTACCAATTCATTTCCCTTGTATTTTTCATTTTGATTCCAGTACTCCTTTATAATATTATTCAATGCATTTGTGTTCCATATCAGAACTCCTTCATCCATAGAACAGCTAGGCTCTGGAATTCATGGCCTGAGGAAGTATTCCCAACAACATATAATCTCCAGAAGTTCAAAAAAAATTCCAATATCTACCTCCCGTACCTATCCTCCCTAGGAACGCACGAATTTTATTTTTGAACTAGCAAAGTCTCTTTTTAAAAAACAATTTATTTGTCAAAGTACAAAAGCAGAGCGAATTTTATGAGATGTTTATCGTACAAAGTTATAAGTCTGACTGAATGTTGGAATGAACAAATGCAACAAGATGATTTTGAAGAGTCAGCGAAATCTAAGAGGTCCCTGGGAACGTCGGTGCGGAATCTTCAGTTCTTAGGAAGCTTATGGGAACCGGTGATATAATTCACGATGTTCTTCGAACATTATAGGGATTTCCTTTCGTGCACTCCAAGCAATAAAAAAAATGTGATAAGCTGGACAAAATGTGAATGATATGTTTTTTGTTCACCATTTACATTTTAATCTGGTAATAAACTTGATTTGATTGAATTCAAAATCTGAGAGTTACTTACATCAGGTTTTGGAACAAAAGCTCTTCCTGGTATTGTGAACCTATAGTCTACATCGCACCACATCTGACACATTACTGACAGCCTACATCTCTGTTTGTGCCTTACAGGGGCAACCATCCTCTCACCCACTTCCTTCTGAAATGTGAGAACCATTGATGAACGACCATATGACCAAGCTGAGGACTTCTCAGAGACTGACTGTAGGTAGCGTATTATCAAATTGGTAGAAACACTGAAAGGTAGATTTCCTAAAAAAGTAATTTTGATTCACATCTTTTATTCAGTCTCACCAGTTGGTGCTACTACAATGTGAGGTCAAAGTCAAAAATCCCAAAATTATGCTGGATAGCCCTAAAGCCTGTGGTATGTTCCATTCAAAATATTCAGAAAAAATGATGTAGGATATTTGAACAAAGAGAAAACTTGAAGTTATGGAGACTTGAGCAGACTCGTTTTTTCACTCTCAATGTGGATCTTCACCACCAATTCTTACAATAACAGAGATGAAGATATGTGAAGGAAGAGGTGAAATGACAGGAAAAGAAGAAGTACATTTTAAGTTCCACCAACTCTGACCTCACGTTTCAGTAGTGCTATGTGGTGGATAATAAATAATATTGGCCCTCATTGAAAGTATTTTTGAATGGTTTATAATGAGATCCATCTGTCCAAAACTGACCTATTAAATGAACTGGTGGTGGGGCTTCCAACCAATTATGTTTAGGAGCACCAGCAAATCCAGTTTCCAAATTGAATGATCTGATGTCATCTATTGCTATGTTCATTTCCATATGACTATTACATGCTTCCTGTAATAACTCTAAAGTTGGAAGGAACCTGTTATCTTTCTCAACTACAATCAGCTTTTGAGGGCATTTTTTAATTATTGACCTGGTTATTCCCCCAGGTCCTGGTCCGATCTCACAAACATAACCATTTCTAATGTTTCCAGCAGTTTTCACAATTTTATCAGTTATACGTTCATCCATCAAAAAGTTCTGGGACAACTGGCGGAGAGCTCGAATTTGATACAACTTGACTAAATCTCTAATCGTAGGTAAAGGGGGCAAACGAATATGGGGAGTTGGGGCAGTCATTGTAATTACTGGCTGATTTTCGCGGGTTCCTCAAAATCGTCTAAAAAGCTTTCTTGATTAACAGCATACATTGAGTACCCGTAGATACCTAAAACCCCAAGGGTCAATAATCCACCAGTTAAAAGATTGTTTTTTCGCAGTCGTTTCAATTTTTGGACTCTTTCTTTGTTTTGTTTTTCAAGCTCTCTGATGAAATTCAAGTTAGACTTATTCAATTTGCTGAAGTCGATCTTTGGCATTCGATCCGACATCTTTCAATCTGGAAAGTAAAAATATTGTAAATAAGATAAATGATATAAACCTGGAGCAGTACACATAATAATACTTGGAAATATTCAAGAATATTGGAATATTATACCAATATTACCAATTTGCATCGATAATCGATATACATAACCTTACCTTATTTCCACACAAGAGAAAACACACCACTCATACCAGTGTTGCCAACTCAAACTCAGATGTCAGATGTCCAAAAGTTGCGTTACAAATATAACAAGAAGTAAAAAACAACATTTGAGATTCTACGGAAACAGCCAAAATGTGGACATACTCAACCGTCAAGAATTGATTTCAATTAAAACCACAGTCCCTTTTTTTGTTCCTTTACAGAAAGCGTCAATTGTATTTCTGAATAGTTACTTTCGAAGTCAGAAAGCATCAATTTGTATTTCAGAGAATAGTCAATTGAATTTCATAAAGGGTCAATTGTGTTGCAGTATAGTCACTTGTATTTCAGAAAGCGTAAATTGTATTTCAGAATAGTCAATTCAATTTCAGAAAGCGTAAATTGAATTTCAGAAAGCGTCATTTTCATTTGAGAACAAATCGTTTGGAATTCAATCCACGTTTGTGTGGCTTAACGGATGTAGGTATGGTTATATCTTGCGTATCCTTCTTGCGTACTTTCACGAACGTTAACTGCAATATGCCATTGAGTCAAGATTATTGAGCCTAGATCCCCAAGAACTTTTTCTGCAATGATTCCGCTCATTTTAACACTGATTAATATCCAGATTAGTGCAAACAACCATAAAGGACCAATACAAGCTGAATTCATTTTTACGTTGCGATGACACTGATGACTTTATAGAGAGTTGAAGTAATCACTGTACGTAGACCTCCACGTCGACGTTAACGTACGAAAACTAACGTTTACGTATTGTCGTTAAATTGAGTTGAAGTCGCCACTTTGGTCGTCACTGTCATCATAACGTAATAATACATTTTGTTTTCGGTTTGTATTGGTCATTTTTGGTTGTGTGTTTAGATTCGAACATTTATTCCTGTCAAAATTAGAGGACTCCTTGATGCAGATCGAACTCGTTGGTGATCTCGAATTTTATAATTTTGACTCATCGGCATATTTCGAGTTTGGTTAACGTACGTTGATATTTAAGGTATACGTGAAGGAACGTGGGATAACGTACACCGTAAGCCCACTAACAACGCAAACGTGAAGAATCGGAAAATGCGCATGCGTAGCTGTCAATTTCTACGTTTACGTTAACGTTCATGACAACACTTCAACTCTCTAATAATTTTCCGGGTCTATTAACGTATACGTGGTGGGCTATACGTACAGTGTGTACTCCAACCAAAGAGAAGGGGGGTAACTAACCTACTATTCTTTCCTTCAACTCTCTATTCGCTGCATTTATATATGTCCATACCCAGTGTTGCTAGTATTTTATCAGATGACGTCGCCAAAGTAACAGTCGAATGATATATTTCACATTATCATATCATAATGAACCACCAAATTTTCCCATCCTGTAATCTTTGACCTGCAGAACATCTCTTGCCAAATACTCGTTTATCCAACGAACAGCGAGGCTCTGGAACACATTGCCAAGGAAAGTGTTCTCCGAGGCATATAACCTTCAGAAATTTAGCAAGAACGCCAATGGGCTTGTATCACAAAAAATTTCTATTTCATAATTCGATAGAACTCACCCAAACAAAGCTCACCACCGCAAACCGTTTCTTTCTGTGAGCTCCCTACGTTTTATAAAAAATTATTGAAATCCACGATTTTTCCGACCTCTGAAAACGAGGCGATGATGTGACGTCAAAACCCTAATACTGAAACAAGACTATTCCAGACAGAGATGAATGATACATGATTTCTAACAGAGTGAATTAGCTCGAGATCACAGTTGAAAGAATTAATATATAAGTTGCCTCAGTCTCCGTCGGGCTTTTGGTATTTTCTTTTACCTATGGCGAGATGAGGTTTCTACGTCATATGAGGGTCCGTTTTCAGAAGGTACTATTATTGATGTCCAAAAATAAAACATTACAGTTAATTTTTTGATCGAATTATGTCGTCAATCATTATTTATGTATAAAAGGATCATTATAAACATGGTTTGAGTTGAAAGTTCTACTAAGGTGTACACGCCCATTCCTACCTTATTTCCCTTGGTTCTCACTATGTTCTCTGATCATTACTGGATACCCCTTTTTGTGAGAACCAGAACATACCAAAAAAAATAACTGGGTACAAATGAAACTGGAAGTGCTTAATACGGATTTGTTATTTCAAAGGAATAGTATGAAACACACTTGGAAAATGGCCAATTCAAATCTTATTTCCCTTGGTTCTCACGATGTTCTCTGATCATTACAGGTATATACAGGGTGTTCCGGTGATCATGTTACAAACTTCTAGGGTAGATAAAACACACGAAAATAAGAAAAAAAGTTCATGTGAACATGGGTCCGGAAACGCTTCTTCAGGGAGCTAGGGCCCTTCGAAGATGACCTTCAAAAACTACTTTTCGTTTTATAGCTTCGGTACTACTGCAGCTATCGCAACCAATTTTGAGACATGAAATATAGTTCGTAGGTTCATCAATTTGAGCCTTCCGGATTTTGTCACCTTCAACCAGGGGCGCACAAACCAGGGGGGTATTTGGGTGAATTTGACCCTACTCCTCTTAGGCTTTAATTTCTTGCCATTTTCATATCTGATTATGATTCTCCAATGCCTTTTACATAAAAAAGATACTTTTGTAAAAATCGCTATCTGTCACCGTTTCCTCCGAAAATGGCTAAATCCAATCATAATAAATTATTGGTCTTAAACCAATTAATTATTACGTTGAAATATGAAAATGAGGTTCAGTACAGATAGTGAGCATTATTAGTTAGTCAAATCTTCTTCTTTAATGAAAATAAAATAGATTAGAGAAATTTATTGCCTTTTCGAAATTTGGGGTATAAAAAGTAAAAGGGAACGTATACAAAATATATCAAAAAAAAAAACAATTAAACCTACACAAGCAAAACTAATAATAAATTTGCAATAAATCATTCACGAGCACCAATGGAAAACTTAAAGTTTTGAAGTTTCAAAAGTACAAAATGAACAAGTAACACAAACAGGTTCAACGAGTGAGTCGAGGATAAGGCAGAGTGAATTTTTGTCTTGAAGTTGAATTTACTAACGCTGTCGTTGACTGACCCTGTACGTACCAAAATAAATTCAAAATAACAATTGCTAAAACCTTCCACCACGTTCAATACATATATTACACCTACGTAGCATATTTAAATTGACGTCAGTGGAAACATCAGGCATGGTTTGGATCATTTCAGCCGTAACAGAAATCCTAGCCACCAAATCTTCCTCCGACTGAACAGGGAGTTTCATATACATTTTCATATGTCCCCAAAGAAAGAAACCCATAGGAGGTAAATCTGAGGACCGGGCTGGCCAGTTGACATCGCTTCCACGTCCAATCCAACGTCCTCTAAAACGATCATCGAGGTGCTGACGTACGACATGTGGAAAATGAGGGGGTGCTCCATCATGCTGGAACCATAGATTTCGACGTTTGCCGAGGGACAGCTCATCCAATAACTCAGGTAAGGTGTATCTTAAAAAATTGAGGTACACCGTCCCAGTTAGTCGAGGAGGCAACATGCGATTGGTCATTCTCCAACAATTCCAGCCCACATGTTCACCGGGAATCGATGTTGGTACCCTCTTATTTGAAGAGCATGAGGGTTTTCCTCTGCCCACACATGGCTATTCCGTGAATTGAAAATACCTTCACTCGTAAAAACAGCCTCATCAGAGAAAAGCACAAATTTCGGAAATTGGGGTTCTTGCGTACACTGTTGAAGAAACCACTCGCAAAACTCTACGCGGGGTGCATAATCATTTGGTCCCAATTCCTGTACTTTTTGGCGATGGTAAGGATGATAGATATAGATAGATAGCTTTATTCAAAGAATTGTACTTATACATGATACATAAACAAATACAATTAGGTGAACCGGCGTCAAATTAGTGGTGTGTAGTTACCATGCACAGAACATCAATATGTGTAATGCTAACAAACAAAATGAGTATTTACATAGATATTTTACAAGAAAACAGACTCGTTCAAATTGTAAATTATGGATAAGATACGGTTTATAAAATTGTAAAGAATAGATAAAATATATAAAATTGTACAGTATAGATAAAATACCTATATAAAATTGGTTGGAATAGAAACAACAAAAAATTAATTAGAAACTGAAAAAACGAAAACATACGTGTACAGTGGAATAGGGTAGAATATATAAAATAGGGTGATATTGAATCAGAATAAACTGGAATCTAAAAATTCTTGTAAACTATTTGGTTCGATCTTGTTCAATAAATCATGTACAATATGTTTGAATTTTTTAAAGCAGGGTTCAATTTTCACACTCGTTGGTAACTTATTAAAGAACTTGATACACGAATACATCGGGGTTTTTTTCTGTCAGAGTTAGTCTGTGGGCAGGAGTTTTCAAATCCACAGTTCTCGTTTTATAACTATGTTGTGATTTAAACATATCAAATTTTTCCCTATTTCTGAACAGAAATACCAAACACTCATATATATAGATACTTGGAGCAGTTAATATATTCATCTCTCTGAACTTTCCTCTGCAGGACTGTCTTTTAGTGTTTCCCAATAGAATTCGTAGGGATCTTTTCTGTACTTAGAAAACACTCTGCGCATCCGAGCTTCCTCCCCAAAAAATGATGCCAAAGCGCAATAGAGAATGAAAGTTTGAAAAATACACCGTTCTCAGAGCTTCATTATCTAAATATTTAGCTATACAATTCTGAAAGAATAACACACTGAGTTTAATTTACTACAGAGTTAATTTATATGGATCTGCCAATCAAGATTTTGGTCAATATGAACTCCCACGAACTTGGTGTTTTTCTCTAGGCTCACATTTTTTGTCTCGAGCTGTATATCTCGCGGTAATTTGTTTCCTTCGTTTTCAGTTGTTGTGAAACGGATGTAGGTTGTCTTTTCTTTGTTCAAAGTCAATCGGTTCTTAATGAGCCAGTCTTGAGCTTTTTTTAGACTATCATTTGCAATACCTAACATTTCCTGAAGTGAAGATCCTACCACTAGGATGTTTGTGTCATCAGCATAGTTTACAAGGTGTGTTTTTTCGTTGATAATATCTGATGCTAAGTCATTGATATAGAATATGAATAAAAGAGGCCCCATCACACTTCCCTGGGGCACTCCAACCTCCATCTTACCATCCTCAGAGTAGTACTTCTTCCCGTCTCTATCTATTGCTACTTTTTGCACGCGTTCAGACAGGTATGATCTTATCCAGCCAAAGTGCAGGGCCTCTGATACCGTACCGCTCCAATTTATTCAACAAAATACCATGACTGATGCTATCAAATGCTTTTGATAAGTCCAAAAATATAGCCATTGACAGATCTTTGTTTTCATATCCAAAAACAATTTTTTCAATAAAATCATAAACAGCAGTTTCTATAGATTTGCCTTTTAGATATCCATGCTGTGAGTGACTTAGCAATTTTTCGGCATAAAAAAGCTCAGTATAGTCTGGTACACATAGATATTTCAAATATTTTAGAAAATGATGGAATTAAACTTATGGGACGATGGTTTTCTAACAGAGTGGGATCACCTTTTTTTGTACACCGGTTTAACAATAGCAAGTTTTAGACTATCTGGAAAAAGTCCGTATTGGAAATAATTATTTAATGAAGAAGTTGTTCGTTATAACAATCTCCCATACACGGACATGACTTACATTCATGGATTCTGCAACAGCTCGGGTACTAACACTAGGATTTTCCTCGAATTGTCGGAGTACCTCTTCCTCAAATTCTGGAGTTCGTACAGTTCTTTGAGCGCCATTATCTGGCCTCGTTGTTTTCACGGAGCCAGTTTCCCTCATGCGCTGATTTATCCTCGCGAACAGCGTGTGAGCAGGTACACGCCTCCAAGGAAACCGCTCCTGATACAATCTTGAAGCGGCTCTTCCATTGCAATGAACTTCGCCATAAATTAATAGCATATCGGCATATTCGGTGAAAGTATAATCCATGATTCACTGGCGACACAATATTTTATTGACAGATTTTTGACAACTATCTGTACTGAACCTCATTTTCATATTTCAAGATTTAAGACGTTACCACCGATACAACAAGGCCAGCAGACTCTGACGTAAACAGCTCGTGACATCGTCAAGTGAGGCCAGTGTTTTATTTTATCGCTTGTCGACTAACGCGTCAGTTCGTGTTAATTCATCGGTGATTCACGTATGTGTTTTTTTAACGGTCCCGAATTCTTTTTTTGTTTATTCATCAAAATAATTGGCGAAAAAATTACTGTTTTGTGAAATATTTTGTGTTGTGATCGGCGAAATAACAATGCCTTTCAAGTGTTGTGTTCCCTTTTGTCGGGAGAATCATGTGGGTGGTTCAAAAGTTCATGCTTTTAGTTTCCCGTTGGACGAGGAGCTATCGAAAATGTGGGTAAGTATATGCAATTCACCGCGAGGATTTTACTTCATCTAAGTATCTAAGTTCAGTAGTAAACAGAGCTTTATTTATAATGATGAATCAATAATAGAAGACAATTACTCATAAAAAGTATAAGTAGAGGAAAAATATAAAAGGCATTTTTAATTCTCATTCTCAAATTTCTTTCTGAAAACGGTCATTTGCCTCGTGGCAATGAATGCAGAATTCATTCCAATGATCAAATTGCAACTATCATATTAACATTAACTACAAACACTCTACTCAAAAAAGGTAAAACTGGATTTATCATGATATTTATCATGAAGATATTTGACTAAAAAGTTCCAAATTTCACCTTCTTTTTCACCTGTCTTCTGGATGGCATTTAGAACAAATTTCCCTTCTTTTCTCATCATATTGGACAATTTATATATAATTTAACTATAAATATGATTTTCTTGAGATTAATCCATATTTAGTGAAAAGAAGGAGGAATATCATTCAAAATAATGGCGTGTGTAATGTCATTCGAAAGCAATCTATTGACATTTGACATCTCGTATTTTGATTGATTATTGATTAAATGGTCGTCATCTGGAATGCTTGTTCACTAAATATGAAAAACTCGCCATAAAAATCATATTTCCTGTTGAATTTACTATATAAAAATATGCCATCGAAGTTACATCATGAGTATATAACGTGTCCAATGACAAAATAAGTGCAAGTAGCTTCAAATGCTCCCAACACAATGGGAGAAAGAAGGCGAAACTTTTTCTTGAAATATCTCAATAAATAGTGGTTTGTTCACATTTTCATTATAAAATTCGGTTTATCAGACAAAAATACGTGAGTACCGAGAAGAATTTTCAAAAAAAAAACATCGCATGATAAATGCAGTTTTACCCTTAAAAATTACGGTTTCAAGTGTAACGATCCACTTGGGTGAAAAATCCAACAGCAGAAAATTGAAAACACTCACTGGTTATTTTTTCAGGTAATAGGAATTCTCCAAGATAAATATAGGTAATTGTAACAAACGGCATCATGTCAATCAAAATAAAATACATTTTCCACAATTTTCTTTCGATCAATCTCACGATAAGTTTATGTTCTGCGGGCCCTGTATAAGTAGGTGTGAAGTTTACCTTCACCACAATTTTTGCGAATATATTTAATTCGAATGGGTTGCTGTAGGTGGATATTTGTGTTTTATCCTGGTTTTTGCTTTGAAACTTTTTTTCCATAATAAAATCGAATGGGGTGCGAAGAAGGGCTCAGTTGACGACTGGCATCCTTTTCTAACCGGAAGTTCTTCAAAAAACAGCAAAATCGGCTCAATGATGATCTAAAACTAAAATCGAAATACGCGGTCGCCTTATAGCGCTATAAGCGCTTGTCGTTTCGAGCCGCTGGATAGGCCTCACTAAGTGACGTCACCCACGGAGCATGCACGCCTTGTTGTATCGGTGGTAACGTTTAAGACCAATAATTTATTATTGATTGGATTTAGCCATTTTCGGAGGAAACGGTGACAGATAGTGATTTTTACAAGAGTACCTTTTTTATGTAAAAGGCATTGGAGAATCATAATCAGATATAAAAATGGTAAGAAATTAAAGCCTGAGAGGAGTAGGGTGAAATTTACCCAAATACCCCCCTGGTTTGTACGCCCCTGGTATAAGGTGACAAAATCCGGAAGGCTCAAATTGATGAACCTATGAACTAGATTTCATGTCCCAAAATTGATTGCGATAGCTGCAGTACTACCGAAGCTATAAAACGAAAAGTAGTTTTTGAAGGTTATCTTCGAAGGGCCCTAGCTCCCTGAAGAAGCGTTTCCGGACCCATGTTCACATGAACCTTTTTTCTTATTTTCGTGTGTTTTATCCACCCTAGAAGTTTGTAACATGATCACCGGATACAGGGTGATCAGAATTCTGAATCTTGAACCACCCTGTATTTGTTTCAAATAAATGTCAGTAGATAGTAAATCACAAGTTGAGATCGGTACATGAGAGCCGTTTTGACCAATAATGAATAGTTAAAGTTGTTAAAGTTGAAAAATCTCGATTTTGAACACTTTATATCCCTGAAACCATTATAGCTAGACCCTAAGTGTGATGCATTGATGAAATCAGCTCTTCGGGGAGAATCTAAAAATGCAATAAAATACAAGTTGTTCCATTTGAAATAACAAAGTTGTTGCTTCTTTTCTTTAGAAGCGGCAACGCCGCAGGGCTGAAAATATTTTAGAAAGATGTCCCCTTCGAAAATGTAGTTGACCTGTTTCAGTTTTTTTTGATAATCCGGTTTTGGCGACCTACAGAGCCTCTGTTTCGTTTTCAAAGGCCCACTCTGTATAATTCCATCATGGTTATATCTTGGGTTATATCCACTGCACTGAACTATAACCCTGGTTATAGTTCAGTGGTTTTCTGTAGGATATCAAGTAGTATGTCATTGATGTTATGAAGCATTCGTTTTGTTTCCTGTTGAAAAAAACACTGTTTTCACATCCATTTTTTATGTCGAAATCACTAGAAAATTACTAGATTTGCAAGAAAATTCGGCTGCGGCGCAGGTTTAGGGTTTTTTGATATTTTTCAGTTAGTCATTCTGCGACTTTCGAAGATCTGAGTTGGCAACACTGGTGACACTAGCTTTGACGTTTCTACTTTGTAACTGTCATGTTGGACTTGGAATTTTAGGTTTAATTTTTACTTCATAATATTAATTGTGATTGTGAATGTGTTGTTTTTTATTGAGTTTTGTAGAATGGCAGAAGAGGAGTTGCCTTCAGATCATTTCGATAATAGTAGAGGAGATAATAATTCTGACCAGGAGCCACTATCACATTTACAGTTAGATTTAGGGGATGATTCTTCCCATAGCAATCCCAATAGGTTAGGAAACTTGAATACTGGAACATCAGGTAACATTCTGAAAAGTAACTTCATTCATTCAGCCTTAAATAATTTGTTGGCCTAAAATTGAGTTCTAGAATTGGGTGATCTGTGGTATGGTTTCATATATTTGATGTGTGTGGGGTGGCTGGAATTAAAGCCTCAACTTTGGGATCTCCTAAACTGCAGTGAGAGATAGGGAGTTTGTTGAAAAATGGTAAAGTTGTGCAATTTTATGTTCTATGCCTAACAAAAGGCCGCTTGGAAACTTGAAAAATTCCAAGAGATATTCCAGAAATACAACATTTCCTGAATACCCTTTTTTTATTATTTAGGAATTAATATAAGTGAATGACACTTCATCATGGCAAGTTAGCCTAGCGATTCTGAAATCCCACATTTTGTTTTCCTGAAACCATCAACTCATTTTTTTTCTCAAATATGGATCTGGATTTATTATTTTCCTTTATCACCTTTGGATAGCCAAAAGGCTAAGTAGTTGCACATATCTATTTTCTTATGTTTCAATAACAAAAATTGATAGGTTGGTGTTGAATATTAAATAAAAAATACACAGTCTGAGACTAGCAGTTACAGAGTACACATCTAATCTAATAGCTCTTAATAAACTACATTGGAAATGACATGGAAATTGTGACAGAAGAGCCATTCCAAGCAGTGGAAAAAAAGGGAAAAAAGAAATAAAAAAGGACTCAAGAATACACAAGAGAAAAAATAAATGCAATTATAGGAAGCCAAGCAACAAAAAATAATGACCAATTGCTATCACAGCAAAAAAGAAATCCTATCTTGACCAATAAAAAACCAGCTCCATGCAAAACATCTAGCCAAATTAAAACTTCTCACAGATAATGAATGAATTGAGCAACAAAAAATTCAAACATTTTTCCTTCATCAAGGCAGATGACAGTTTTTTTTATCGCTTAGAGTGCACGAAAGGAATCCCTATAATGTTCAAAGAACATCATGCGTTCCTAGGGAGGATAGGACACTAGAATTAACTTCACCAATCTATGGATGAAAATATACCCTTGAATGTGAAACATTAATCACATCATTAAACTGAAAAATGGATTCATTATGGAAATGGGATACACTACAAACATCAGTCACCAATACTCTTGATAAACCAATAGAAATAGGTCATTATCCAAAGCTACTGTGAATAGTCCCCAAATACAAAACTGACAAACTACTCAACCCTCACTCAGGTATTCAGTAGTTATTAGTGGTGTAGAACAAAAATATAAAGATCTCATTATCATCATTATAAAAGAACTAGATCACCCATACTGTAAGAGGAAAAGGATTACATCCCAACCAACTGGTCAGCCAGCATATGAAAAAGTTGATTTTATGAATTCCAAATGAAAAAGTGCCATTTGGGAAAAAAAAAATTTCTCGTTTTTTTTCCCAATTTTGTGCCACATTATTGAAACCTATAGATTTGACTCAAGTTAATAGGTAAAGAAGTTGTATGTAAAAACATTAGATACACTCAGTCTCACTTATTTTTTCTGCTCACTCCAAATTTGTAAATGACATTTTAAAATATTTATATGCAGGGTGTTGTTTTGACTAGAAATCTACTTATCAATTTTTTCAAGGCCAGCCCTGGAATAAGACTTTTTATCATGTCAATAATCACCACTGTGGACAAAGAACGTACTAACCAAATATCAAAACAATTTATAGGGTGGTTCATAAGTTATAATTAATTGGAAAAAGAGGGAAAATCAATGAATCAACATGCATACATCTGGAATTGAGAAATATGTAATAGCCAGAGCAGACTACTTCAAGAGTCTCACATTCAAATCAAAGGAATAAACTTGAACACAAAATGCCCAATACATAAACTAATATGCAGGCCTCTCATAGAATATGGTAATGTGTTCCTCAACTTCAAAAGTCCAGCCATGCAAAATCCCAGAATAGCTGAACAAGAGCAAATCTGATCAATCACCAAAAGTCGCTATCCTGATAACCCACTACACAACCCTTCCAACCAGCTCCTGTACCAGACAACATATTTACAACCAAAAAAGGACAGACTACAACTTCTGACAAGTAAATTCAAAAGGAAACAATGAAATAAAGACATAATTTCTACAATGTGCCCCCTAAGAAATCCAATCATCAGAAACCACCCAGGCATTCAGTTCATATGCTATGGGAACAATTATCAACATAATCTTTTTTTTTCTTCAAAATCATATAGAATCGAGTATAGACTTATAAATATCTTACCAAAATAATTCACTTAATATACAGGATTGTCTCTGGTACTGGTGGGGGACGTTTGCACGTCAGCAACTAGTCCTTAGTGGGACCTTTTTGCAAGCCTCAAGGTGTTTACAATGAGTGTGATGTGGTTTGCTTAAGAGAGCTGACTAACATCCTTTTCAGGCACCGCTTATCAGCTCTCTTCCACACTTTTTCGGCTGTGTTCTGTAGGCTTGTAATGTACTCACTACTATATGCTACTGTGGCAGGCCTGCTAGCTATTCTCGTTAACCCCCATTAGAGACCGAGGTCCACTAAGCAGCATTGGCCCGCTCTCACGCTCAGCTGATAGTTTTCCACATCCTTTCCTACATACACTGTCCTACTTCTTCTCTGATGCTTACAACCACATCATCATCTCTTTCTGCTTGTTCTGTGTAGGCTTTGTTACTAACTCCAAGCGCCACTTTTGAAGCAGCACTGTTAATTGGAACGCAACAGCAAATCGTGCAGGACTATCCCGAGCCGATGCTCCGAAACTTTACAATATTCAATTCATAAATAAAATATACAGTTACTGGTAATTCAATATATTCCTGTGGTGACGTGATAGGGTAGGTGGTAGGGAGTGAATTTAAGCCAAATATGGATTATGGGAAGGTAAATAGTTTTTGAGATATTTAATTTTTCTATTCATCTCCAAAAGTTAGACTTCCAGTTTCTGAAAGTTGGTTTTTAAGAAAATCTGCTGTACATTTATTCATCCTCTCAACTAGAATACATGATCAACCCTATGGTCTCATGTTTGAAATGAAAAACAAATCCAGAAATAATTCAGATAATAGATAAATTGTAAATACAAAGTCGTACTTTTGCATATTAATTGTGGATTTCAATGTAGCCCCATTTGTCGAAAATTTGTTGAAACAGGAAGACGGCACTGAACAATTTGGAAGTAGCAGAAAGAGCTAGCCTGAGAGCCATTACCAAAATCCGGCACCCTCAAAATCCCCTTCACCATGCACCAAACGAACTTCTATATCGGCTGACCAGGGTGCAACCAATTTCTGAGAGACTGAAAAAGCTAACATTGAAGTTTTCCAAAAACGAATCCAATCTCCAAATTATCCAATTCCAGTGTTTACAGAGAGATCCAACAGTGATCCCAAAACGGAAGTTTCCGGAAAACACTATTGGAATGCTTAATCAATTCAGAAGACTGAAATTCCTTCAAAATTTTTGACCCCACAATAGACTTTTCTTCTTCCTTTTTTTACACTAGCAAATTTAATAAATCCACATATCTTGTACATACAATAATGATGGATTTAAACTCAATGTATAATCACTGTGAGGCTGAAGGACCTCGATCGGAAGCCTTTTGGGTATCCAATAAAGCTCCTTAATTATTATTATTATTTCTTAAAACTACCTTAATGCAATCGCTATCTAACTGGGTATGGGGTATGGGAATAAAGCTCCTTAATTATTATTATTATTTCTTAAAACTACCTTAATGTAATCGCTATCTAACTGGGTACAAATGATAATAAAAGTGCGTGATACGAGTTTGTTATTTCAAATGAATAGTAAAAACGTACTTGAAATACTTCTACTATCAGTATTCACTTTTTACAAATCCTGTTCAGAATTCTATTAGGAATACATGCTCAGCAGCGTGTTCTTATTTCCGTCTTTGTTATTCTAGTTGTCAAATTATTTTGTATGTGCAGGGCAGCGTCCGTTATCATTTGTATGAGTTCTTCCCGGGTATTTACTGGGGTTCCATTAACTAGCGCACATATAATGATCAAGGGAATCTAGGTGAGGGCTTCGCGCTGGCCAACCTATTCGACCTGACCTTCTGATCCAACGGTTCAAAAAACGTTCATCTAGGAACTGCCGAACGATCAGCCGATAATGCGCTGATCAACCGTCTTGTTGGAATATCATCCGGTCCTCTGATGGCGGTAGAAAATTGTCATACATTTTTCTTTTCAAATTGTCTCGGGAAAAATGTGGTCCTATTGAATAACAGTCAATGAGTCCCATTAACAGAAAACTTCCGTTGGAAACTAGTTTACTTGGGGGACGAGGGTTTTCTTCGGGGCCCAATAATGGAGTTTATGAACATTTGTTGTGCTATTTGGATCCCTCGAGCAAATAAACGAAAATAAAAACTGCCGATAATTAATACTGATAGGCATTTTTCAAGTGTGTTTCATACTATTCCTTTGAAATAACAAATCCGTATCAAGCACTTTTAGTTTCATTTGTACCCAGTTATTTTTTTTTGTATGTTCTGGTTCTCACAAAAAGGGATATCCAGTAATGTTCAGAGAACATCATGAGAACCAAGGGAAGTAAGGTAGGAACTGGTGTTCTTGAATTTCTGGAGGTTATATGCCTCAGGGAACACCTCCCTTGGCAATGTCTTCCAGAGCCTCGCTGTTTGTTGGATGAACGAGTCTTTGGAAAGTGATGTTCTGCAGGTCTCCAAAGTGACCACGAAGGGGTGCGAAGCCTCAACTTGACGGGTTAATCTCGCGGGGACTGCCAAGGGAGGAACAATTGTTGATATTTCAGAAGAGCATCGTCCATGAAAATATCTATAATATAGAGCCAGATCGCCAACTTTTCTACGTTGTTAGATACCTATTGCCCTAAAGAAGTTTTAACAAATTTTTGACAAATGTGGCTTAGAAATTTTTCTAAAAATAACCGCTAGAATATCGGTAATATCCACAATCCACAAGCAAACAAGATAAAATACGACTTCGTATCTACAATTCATCTATGATCTAAATTATTTCTGTAATTTTGTCATTCCAAACATAAGACTATAGTGTTGATCATATGTATTTCGGGAAACTAAATTTTAAACCCTAGAAGTCTACCTGTTGGAGAAAAACAAACAAAAAAAATATCTCAAAAACTATTAAGTTTTGCATAATGCATATTAAGGTTTAATTTACTCCTCACCACCTTCCCTATCACATCTCCAAAGGAATGTATTTGAATTACCAGTAACCCTGTATATCAATATTATGTGAACTATTGTGAACACATGCATGGGCTGGGTCAATTGCCCTTTGGTGCAACAAAGATCATTTATTATTATTATTATCAATAAAAAATACAGAAACTGTCAATGTTCAGAAACGGAATCCTCGAAAATGAAGAATGAAATAAAAAATAAGTTGAGGATGGTTTCTGGAAGACGAAACATTGGATTTCAAATTTGCAAACGTCAACTTGTAGGGAAGAAAAAGTGGCCATGATAAAATGTCATTCATTTCAATTATTTTCTCCAAACAACTTGAAACAACAAATTGATAGGGAATTGGGAAATTTTTTTTTTTTGATAAGTAGTATTTGAAATTTTTCAAGTTTCAAAACGTGATTTGGGTTTTTTATCTCTTGGGGCGCTACTTTGTCATAATTTTACCTGCCCTCTATCTCTCACGATTTACAAGATCCCAATGATGAGGCTACAATTCCAGTTCGGCCGAAGCTAGCAAAGTCACAGATTTTTCTATGATACAAAGGAGGAACAAAATTGGGAATGGGGTAATAAATTAGCCTGAAACGAGCTTGAAATTATGAGATGTGGCTCATGTTGAAATTCGTGAGTGGCTTTGCTAGCTTCTTTAGTATTTCTTCACCGTCCTTGTGTATCGTTGAGGTAGCAGAACCAAATTGAAATAGAGGTAATATAATGGTTATTAGGTTTATTAAATGCTATTTTAGAGCTCTTTGTTAAGCCTATCATAGATTTTTTTGCAAAATAGGGAAACAATCATTTAAAATTCTAGAAGGCTATTTAGGCTCTTTGAGTATTTATGTTTGATCCTATTTTTAATATGTTGGTCTAAATATTTACGGATTTGTCACCTATTATTTTTAGGGCTAAAAGTGAAAACATCTAAAAACAGTTACTATCTCCTATAAAATAAATTACGTTTGAAAATGATAGAAGGCCAATGGGCCGGTTTCAGTAAAACATTTAATTTCATTATTTTCAAGTACTTACCTACCGACCCAAATTAATTCACTATCGCAAACTGTTTTCTCCTCAGAGCTGTGGACATTTTTTGAATAATTCCATACAAATTTCAATTCAATGCAACTCATATACGATACGACTTCTGTATTGTGTACATCCAACTACATGACTGTATTAGTAGGAGAACCGGCAGCAGATTTCTACCGTCATCTAATAACGAAATGATATATGTCCCAAAGGAAAGTAAAAACATTGTAGTTCATCGAACGGCAATTTCCTCTGCGTGAGAAGCTTTTGAGGTGAAAAGTAACTGTTCGCACGTGTTAAAAATCCGAGTTTTTGTGAAGCAGCTTTCGCGATGGATCTGACATGATTATCCCATGAAAGACTATTGCTGATGGAGACGCCGAGCATAGATATAGTTGACTTGGTGGGAATTATTATTATTATTATCGTGACCTACGCATATTCGTAACCAGCAAAATGGTTTTTACCGTTTTTTGCAGCTGTTTTATGTAATAATGTCGTTATGTTATACATGGCTGTGAAGGAACTTTTCAGTTCTATTCAATGGTTTAAAAAAAACAATATGGCGCCAAATAGATAAACAGAAGTTGGATGGTAAATCTCTGAAGCTCATGAAGAAAATTTCTGACAATTCCAACTTCTTTGTCATGAATAATTACCTGCTTACTCAAAATTTCAAATTATTTTGTAGAATATTAACCAAGAAAATAAATAAAATTTGAAGTTTTATTCTGTACAAAAAAGCTGGCATAGATTTCACTAAATTATAAACAACGTAAATTATTAAGTCTAGATGCCTTCAACGTAGACTAGCGAACCTATTTAACACATTGTTTGGAGATATTTTTACATCTCTATGAATGTGCATCAATGCTCTTGGCTCATTATTGATTGATTGATTGGGGGAGTAATTATCAACCTCACTAATTATGAAATAAAATAACGAAACAGTTCAGCGTTTTGCTTCGTACACGACAAAACGTAGTAGGTACAGAGCATGCTCCGATAGTCCTGAACAATACTGCCCAGTATATTTTATCGTTCCAATTTCACTGAAATTTACTGGCAACATTTTCGCGGGGTCATTGCTAAAAGTTGACTGTTGGCCACTGGTGCAGAAATGGTGATGTAGTGCCAGTATTAATGGAAAGTTAGGTTAAGCGTTTGAATGGTTAGGTATGAGTCGATAAAAATTATTTATTATTATTCTCAAATACTGAAAATGGAAAATGTATGAAGTCGAACTGGAGGATCTCACAGTGGCAGTAGACGCTGAAATTGCCACTAATCTACAAGATGGTTTGTTATTCCCACTTTGATATCAAATATTGCACAACTATGCCATCACTGGAACCAGAGCTTGGTATTTCTGATAATCAGAATCACTATCGGATAATATGTCTTCTAAGATAATATGATTAATCAGTCCATCCATAATTTGAACGCGAGTAAAGAAGATTTTAATAAGAGAGATGAAAATAAAAACCAATGAAACAAAACATCGAAACTGGAAATATCATAGGTTATGGTTATGTTTTGCTGCCCGTGTACTAGTATTGCCAAAATCGTTCCGAAATGAGATGAAAATTCAAAGATACTGCTACTGTTTTGTATTCCTAAATTGCTTACTGTGGCCATTTATGATGCATACATACTACAAAAATAATGCTTTTTTCAAAATTTGTGTTTTTTTAAATGTTCCTCCAGAACTCCACTCGAACTGAATATTGGGAAGATATGTTTTCATTTCTGGAGGTCGATGAAAGAAGAATAAGCACCACATTAGATTATACAGGGTGAAAGGAAAAAAGAAGAAGAATCTCATTTCAGTATTGAAATCAAAAACGGTGATTAAAACCATGACCCATTCGATTAATGATATTCAGAAACGTAGTTCTCGATATCCATTATTTATATAAGTTTAGTCTCGACATTTTCTAAAATTCACCTCTAATTGAAATACAGGATAAAATTTCTCAATCCAAACCTTTTTCCTGATCGCGATGTTTCTTATCAACCGATTTCCAATATTAAGTGCCCAACGAGAGGTAGGTAACTTATCTCTGCCTCAATACAGCTGACAACAGAATTACAAGCTGCAATATGGTTTACTGCTGCATACTTCGCAAATATTATTCTTCAGGAACTGAAACGGACATATCTTTTCATAGATCAGAAGAATGTGAGGTGTTCGTCTCAAATTTACTATCTCATTCTTGATGATTTTATGAATAGAGCTGAAAGAGATCTTCAAGTGTTTTCTATTTTGTGTATATAATTTATTTCGAATGTACCTTGATCACTTTTGTTTTACTGTATTCCAAATAAATTATTCTTTGACATGTTTTCAATTAATTATTTACACCACGACATAAAAATTGCAATACACTTTCGAAGATGAGATTATTAACTTTGTCAGTCCTTAGTGTTCCAATTACTAATTCATAAAACTCAGATATTTTGCATGGAGCAAGGAGCAAAATCAAATTAACAACTGCGACAACATCTACCTGACAAAATAATTTTGTGGACGACTTCAATATTTTCTGTCCTAAATAAATATTGAATCATCTCTCAAAAGCTTTATGATGCAACCAACTCTTAGTTGGTGAGCCAATCAGGGACCAACATTTCTCTCATTATCTCTAAAGTAAATCTAAAATTGTTGTGAAGTTGCTGAAGCAGACACTAACTAAGGGAGGTGTGAGTGAGATTTTATTTTGATAATTCAAAATAAAAAATGGCATGAACTACTTGTTCATGGACCTGTTTTTCACAGAGTTTATAGTTGGTGCACATATTCATAGTCTCTCAAACTTACACCGTTATTATGAATCAGTTGATGAATTCTTAACATACTACATACATTATTTGTTTCATTAGGTTCTAATAATACATTATCAGAAGGCCAAAAACGCGAAGACAACCCATTCTCCTTCAAACATTTTCTTCGTAGTGATTCAAGTGGTAGCAACAATTATCAAAGTAAAGGAGCCAGACCTAAAGTATATCAAGAAAGTCGCACATCTTCAACCGATTTTGGGAGTCATAGTCCCGAAAATAAACCACCATCACGAATAGCACCAGAATTATCTGCAGGCTTACCAGATTTTGTACAAGATCATCTAGTCATCGAACAGTGTTATTTGGGAAATCCTTCAAATAACAACTATAAATTGGAAATCAACAATTTACCTGATTTCACACCTACCAGAGGAAAGAGAAATAGTTATAGTGATACAAGGAACTCTAAGGACAGGGATACGGAAGATGTTGAGATTAGGACAGTTCCATTGGATTTACCAATAAGGTCACAAGGTGCCTTTCCTTTGGACTTACCAGTCAATAGTTCTGCAGGAAGTAGTGGGCCAAGGAATGGTCTGACAGTTAGTGAGGTAACTATTTATTTTAGACTGCTATCTATTGGAACAATATCGACCGTCCAGAAAGTACCTACTTCCCAGACATCTTCCTTGAGAAAGTTCCTCAGTTTTGGCATAGCCTAAGAATGAGGTACATTCCGAGCTGGGTCGAAAAATGTATGTTATACAACACGCCCTAGACAATAATTCACATGACAAGCCCGGAAAACATTTTTGGGTGTGTTACACTATTTTAGGACATAATCAGAAACATCTGTTCCTATTCAGTCAAACGTCACGTCACATCTTACAATTCGCTTTAAAAGTCCTCGAGAAATTGAACATTTTCTGATGATTTCCACAATTCGCGGTCGCCAAGGTCATTAGATGACGTTGCGATGACATTAAAAACTATGGGAATACATGTCTAACTTTCAATCTATGCCAGGTGTTAGGTTGTTTACCCGTAGTTTTGAATGCCATCGCAATGTCATCTAATAACTTTGGCGATCTCGAATAACATTCTATCCAAGGAGGTCAAATGGAAACAAAAGTGTTAAAAGCCATGAGGTGTTGAACTGTTCCACATGAATGTCGAGGTATGAGTTACAATATGGAGTACAACAGTTTCTTCAACATCATAATATAGAGTGTACATAAATTCGTCATGATTTGACCTAGCAGAATGTGACAGGATTTAAGTATGCATTCTTATGCACACTTAGTTTCAGATTGTTATGCCATAATATTGGATCCATTAAATCAGCTGTATATATTCCTGTGAACTAATCACTTTCTTCATGTTTCACTAGATGATATCATTTCCAGTTTTATAATAATGTTTAATGATAATAAATGAACTTTATTGGATATAAATACCTACTGAAAAGGCCATCGACCGAGGTCCTTCAGCCACTTGAAATGTTATTTGGCATAACTTAATATTCCCAATAGTAATTTATCTCAAATTGAACACCTACTATTTTCAATCGGATATGAAGTGGATAAATTTCAGAGTGACTTGTAAGTTTCCCTATCCCTATACCAATATACATCGGTTTTGAAGAAATTTACATTTCGATGGCTATCTAGCTTTTAATTGTTCTGTCATGATCAGATCAGAACATTCGAATTTCAAATGTAGTATTCAAAAAACCAGCTGTAAAAACTTCACAAACGATGAGATTTTCTCAAAATTCCTAATCACACGACATGTTTCACTAACACAGTAGCCTCATCAGGTGAAATACTGGTACAATGAACTGTTCATTCTGAATGATGAATGAACAGAACAGAATGAACAGTTCATTGTACCAGTATTTCACCTGATGAAGCTACTTTCTTTTATCTATTTCATGACACAGAACATAAAGCTTTAACATTTATTGTAATGTAAAATAAAGAAGTTACGGAGAAGGGGGGGGGGGGGGGCAACCGACTTCTGGTCCTGACTGTATATTTGTATGGGTATATATAAACATACAAATCATGCCCAACATTTCAACGAACTTATATACCTAATAATAATGCATGAAATTTAATCAATCAACGTGATTCAACGTATTTTTTGGAGGGATCAGGTTCTTCGCTGCTTGGTCGCGGAGGGCAATCAATGGGAGCCTGGTTACTGATATCGGCCTCATCGTTGGAATCCTCCAGTTCGATGGCCAGTTTGTTCTGGCATAATTTGCTTTGGCATGTTCAGCACAATCCCGAGCAGACGAGACCTGCTTTCATGTTGATACAGCCACCCATGCAGCCTTTCTTGCACAAATCAGCAAGAGATAAGTAGTTGAGCCGTATTTGTGATTGGAATCAAGCCCTGCCCGCTTTTAACTGGTGGTATGTGCTGTTGAGATGTTGATTCACTGCTTCTTCGGTTGGGGGTAGACGAGCCAGGTTCACTTTCGCGTTGGTAGCTGAACGAACAAAGAGCTTGTGCCGGAGAGTAGGAAGTTTGTCGCCTTTCTCACCTCCATAGAGAGCACCAAAGCAGCTTGAGCCTGTGGAGGCAACCTCTTCGTGGGTAGCATCAGGCTCAACGAATGCGGTAGCCACGTCCACAAAGGTAACATTTTACTCCAGAGGTAGTGTCGCAACAGTTAATCGCGTGGAGCAACAACTCCAATTGTGGAGCTAGGGAACTTTCCCGCGATTGAACGACTTGGTGTTGAATTGTAGGGGCCCATAGTTACTCCTGCCAGGGAAGAACACGTTGTTGACGGAGGAACCCTAGCCACTGAGGAGAACGAGCAGATCCATATATTTCTATATATACATCCTAGAAGCAACATTGTTCATCAAAAAAACTATGATCTATTTGAAGCCAGCACACCCGACCATAATACAAGAATACAAAGGCATTCTGGCCACCGATATACCAAGATGTAAGATCTAACAAAAAAAAACGAGTATTCAATAACAAAAAATGGCACTAATTACCTTTGCAGTTGAAAACCCTAAAAACTGAAGCTTTAAAGACAAAGTTAAAAACTATCCTATTTGGCAAACCATACTATAATCTAGATGAGCTCTTCTGTGACGTCCTTGATTAAACAACATATCTACATAATATTTTTACAATATTTCATAAATGAAGTAACTTGCAAAGTCCTCTTGAATTAGTGTTTATTTTTGTATTTACTGTAAAAATGTTACATCCTAAAGTGTTTTGTGTTAACAATTCAATGTTCTCTAATGTAGCTATGACATGCTCTATACCTTTCTTCAGGTCTTTGTTAGAGTTAAAGATTTTTCTTTCTTTCTTATCCACTTCAATTATAAAAACTTTTCTATTGAATATACTCTTTTCCAAAGCTTTACTTACAATGGTGGAGTCTGCGTCTTCTGTGGCTCGATGGGGGTTTCTATCTCCTCAAGTTGGAACCCAGAGCAGAGGAAGTCAGACGACGTTTGTTGTTATCATTGCAAATCATTTTATCTTGAAGTACTTTGATCAACATAGATCTTTCAAACATTATGTCGGCGCATGAGGTGGCTGCATATCGACGTACACCTTCCGCAGTTTTTGTGCTCCTTCAAGCCCCATATTCAGGATATCCGTCAAAATTAACGGCCACAGTCTGCCCGAAACGGATAATAATGTAACTGGTGTAAGTGTAGGCAAATCTAATCGTCAGGTTCCATTTCTCAATACAATACAATTATTATTGACTACAGTGTTTTTTTGAAGTTAACAATGTTACTATTGGGCCGATACCCTTGGTTATGTGCTCAAATTGAATGTTTTTATATTATACACGTATCTCGTAAACTACCTAACTTTTGAGATACAGGGTGTCAATGTATAAAATATGCAATTCTTTTTTTTGTCCACCCTGTTTCTTTTCGTAATGGCAAAATTCAGTCTGCTATGTGACTGAACCGGTATGAAGATTTCAAAATTTTTTTACTGTGATTAATCAGGAATGGATGTCCTGAATAAAGTACTCTCATGCAGACATCAAAATTTGAAGTCTGGTCTCGTTTTTCCGGTTTTTCTCTAACCGAAGCGTTCTATGGAGTATCAAGAAGAGATTTTTTTTGGTAAATAATTGAATGGCCTTTCATAGCATTGTACGAAATTCGAAAATTTTTCATCGTTGCTCACTTTCAATTAAAATATGAACAATAATATTCCCGTAACGGTGCCACTGGTAGAAAAAATAAAAATTTCTGTACATCAGAAAATGCACCTTGGTGCATAAAAGACGTGTACTAAATTTCATGTAGATGTATACAATATTATCTCAGTTATTATCAAAAACTGAATATTTTCCAAAACTACATCATCCTGTATCTCAAAAGTTGAGACTTTTAGGACATACGTTCATATGAAGTTTTCCTCATAAAATGAGTCAAACAACCACTCTTTCAACTATTAGCCTGTCTTTAAGGAACACCCTTTATATGTATGTTATATACTATCAAGACGTAGCCTAACACCATACAGGAAAAAATTTAAATGTGCGAATTTATGCGAACTTTACCCAATTCTTTGTCTAGGGTCAGCGGCCTATGGTATTTGTTTTCGTTTGAAAAGATGAACGGGGTCCCTGTACACTTTTCATAATGATTCATAAAAAAAATCGTTATTTCAATCATTGAAGAAAAGGCCCTTTGTCCATGCCTGTTTAAACAATGCCCCTGCGTGTTTGAATCCAACTTTAAAAAACGCGCGTTTTTTTATAGTTGCCACGGCAACACATGTCAACATCATCAACCCGCGAAACGTGAAGTCTGTAACGTCAGTGTATTTGGGACATGAAGAGCTGAGTTTTCACCAAATTTCTTGGAAAAATATGTTTCGTTGTATAAAATGAAAATAAAAAATCAATGTCTTGGTTATATGAGTTTTGCACATAAATTTTGAGGTTATATGAGAAAAATGTGAATATAATAGTTAGATATCTTTTTATTTTTTGCCATTCAACATTTTCCATAGGGCTTCTAATTTTGCTGAAAATCGACCTTAGATCGCCCGTAACTCATTTTCCCTCTCCTCTTTGTTATATTCTCTCTCTCTTTTCAAAGGGGTTCCATCCTACTATAATTTTTTTCTTTAACCGTTTTCAAAGGCTTCAGCACTGGTCTATATCGATTGGACAAATTTTTTTCTTACAACTATTCATTTGATAACTTGGATACTCATTCTCATTAAAGCAGCATAATTATGCTTCAAAAGTGTTGACTGTATTATCATATATTGAAATCCAATTACTTAATTTTTTACCCATATTTATTTATTTCATCTCAAAACGCACGAAAGGGAATCCCTGTAATGTTTGGCGAACATCGTGCGTACCTAGGGAGGATAGGGAGAGAAGGTAGGTATTGGATTTTTTTAACATTCGGAGATTTTAAGTTCTTGAACATACTTCCGTTGGCAAAGAATTCCAAAACTTTGCCGTTCTATAGACAAAGGAGTTTTGGTAAAGATTTGTTTGACACTCTTCAAGGTTGACGACGAAGGGATGTGCTGACTGGGCTTGTCGAGTTTGTCTGACTGGTATTGCTAGTGTTGGAAAGACAGAGCAGAGCTTTCTGAAGAACACCTCCCGTGGAAGTAACGATATAAAAGTGAAAGGTCGCCGACTTTTCTACGGTGTTTCAATGATGTCAAAGTATTGACATATATGGGAACAGTATTTTAGAACAGGCCTTATTATGAGAAGCTTTGAGGACGTTGAGGTGTAAAGTAGATTCTCGCACGGAATAAAAATCTGAGTTTTCGTAAAGCAGCTTTCGTTGGATCGGACATGATTTTCTCATGAAAGAGTATTGCTGATGTAAATACCGAGCATAGATATAATCGACTTTGTGGGAATGTAAATATAATGACAACTCACATACGATGCATTTTGAAATAATTCTCTTTGGTTCAAGGTTGGAAATTCCAAGAGCTTACCAGACTTCCTCACCGACAGCGCTGTCTGTTCTCAAATAAGTGAAACCCTGTCAGTCCCACACAGCCCTGAAGGTGAAGTTGAACGTTTGAGACATGAACTCGAAATCACCAAATCACAATTAGAAGATAAAAGTAGATTGTGTGAATGTCTTAGTAGAGAGTTGGAGATAGCAAGAAATAAGGAGCATGAATATACTCAGAATCTTGCCAAGGCACTGGAGATGGTGGAGGATAATTTAGAAAAAAGTAATGTAAGTGGTGACGGGTGAGCACAAGAATAATCATTTTATTTGCAAAAGATCCCGAAGATAATTTGTATGAAACTTTCATGAATGGGCGAGTGGACTAATAATGAATTATTGGCATTCAATTACTCCACTGTGTCGTTAGGAACCTTAATTAATTCTTGCAACACTTCTCACGCTTTTTTATGTAAATAATGAGTCTATGCGTTGTTCAAAATTGTTGAATTTCAGAGCTTATTATAAACATTCCGTCATGGCCGTCATTTGGCGATACGTCAGTTTTTATGCTGTTTCGTTATTGGTCAGATTATCTTCCATTCCCATTCACGAAGCAAGGTTGTCAAGACACCGTTTATAATCAAGTTATCAAAAAGATGATCAAACCCATGATATAGTACATTCTTGACTTTCTCGAATAACTAGCATGTCCAAATATTTCTTATACCCCATAACAAGATATCATGTAAATGTTGAAGACTTGGCAACATTGTACTGAATGCTGAGAACTGACAACTGGCAAGACCACGCCCACAATTCGTGCGCCGTGTTGTCACGCTTACCGCTTCAAATGTCCTCTAGTGTTGATTAATATAGTTATTATTTACACAAATTTATTATAAGCAATAAGCCACAAGTCACAAGGGAACATTTTGAGACAATTGATTTTTCATTGCTAATTAGGAAGATTACCAAAACATAATTGAGAATTAATGAATTATTAAATAACTAATATTTCTGAAGTTCCCAATCGTTCAACACACGACAACTGTGCTATGGTCTGCCCCTACTTACGAAATCGTGACGTCAGTTTTTACTCGCGGTAAAAATAGAAATATGAAATTGAAAGGTATTTGAGTGATTATTCCATTTAAGAAATAAAAAAAATTGTCCACTCGCCTATTGCATATTGATTTTCGATGAAGAAATTGAATTCATAATTTTTCATAATGAATGCATCACTAATGAAGTCGTTGATGGCGAATGGTCGGTGGGCAACTATTTTTCAGTAGTAATTGAGGATGGTTTGAATTAGAGTGTCTCGAACATCTCATTCCACACCCTATAAAGAGCGCACGCTTGCCACCACTTACATTTCCGAATTGTCATCATTCTCAGATTTGAAACGTCATTTGTGAAAATTGAATAAGCGTCCATGTGAAAAAGTTTTTAAATATGTCTTGTTCAACAAATTGCAAAAATGCTACGAATGATAGTTACCATTTATTTGCGATTACGCGATCATGACATACCTATACTAGCGGAATAAACGAAAACTGTGCGATGTGCTTACTGTGCGTAAAGAGCTACTTACTGAGGTTGTATCTCGTGTGTTCTTGCCTACTTTCTATAGTGGCCGTAGGCAAAATTTATTATTTCGTCTCATCAAAAAATATAAATGATGACATTTTATCGACGGTGGAATGCGCAGACGTTTCGGATATACAGAATGTCTAAAAAAACTACCTGCATAATTTGATTCAATTCCATCTCTATAAGTACCTAGGTTTCATTCACTGCAGTTTACGTCATATGTTGAGAACACCAGCTTACGACGCATGCGCAATGACTTACAAGCTATCTGTCGCGCTAAGCTCTTTGGGTTTAATCTATTTTCAATACCCCTAATTTCGGCCATTTATTCCATCATGCAAAGTAAAAAATAGCTTTCATTTCATATAAAAATGATCCAATAACCGCCATGAACATATAAATGAAACAAAATGATACCTGTTTATACCTGGCTGCAAAGAGGTTGCGGCCAAGTGGGCAACAGCAACCATCATCTTTTAAGTTCTTCACATACATAGCTGTAAGGTGGAATATATTTCATGTGAAAAACAAATAACGGATGAAATTTTTTCCAGAAAATCAATTGATATCTATTTCAAGCCGGTGAGAATATATTCTCCTATTCATGAAAATGTATTTAAGTTTGACTTCTATTAAATAACAGATGGACGTAGTAATCTTGCGGTCGGATCTTAGACTATAATATTTATTTCATGGAAATACATTCAATGACATAATATTGATGTAACTACAAAATGAGCATTATGTGCCTTTAGTATTATGTCACTGTTAGGGTTTCAAATAATAATATGTCTGCACTCGTTCAATGAAGGGGACATAAAAATTACATTCTATCTCATTTGTGTTTCTAGTTTTTTTTTTTCAGCTGTTTAACAACATATCAAGGGTGTCCTCACTCTCTATTAGAAATCGTAAAATGAGATGTTCGAGGCACTTTAGTTTGAATGGACCACCCACGTATACAAGGTGCCCCAACAAATATGAAACAAACTGAATTCATGAGGGACACCTATTATCCAATTCTCAACTGGCCTTTATATATTATTTCCCTTTCCTCCATTTTGCTGACCTATACAATTCAATTGGGAGAGTTAACATGTATGGCACATCATCAAAAATGGGATTTGATTAAGGAATTTGACTTAGTAATGTTCCCTTCAATTTTAGTGCCCTCTTTTGGAACAAAACATGTTATGTAGCCCAATTTTCAGCAATATTAAATCAATATACTAAAAATTTAATGTACTAATAATAATAATCTAAGATCCCAAGTAAGATCGACCTTCACTTATCTGCGCACCGGATGATGATGATTAATTTCTCAATATTCACCGACTTGCTTGCCAAATGAACGAAATTCCAATGGAAAGTATACAACATATAGTATATGGAACAGCTAGATTGCCCATATTTTTCTAGTCCCTATTAACGGTTGCCGTGTACAAACAGGCATGTTGATATCAATAATTGCACTCATATGCTTACCACCTGTGGTACATATAAAAATGAAGGTAATTTTATTACAAATACAGTAGTATAGGGTTGCCTTGCAAAATCCGTTCATGAATAATTGGCCAGTGTGTTTATGCAATTCTAGTGATTCTGTGATTAGTTTTGATCAAAAACCATTTGGGAATTGTTTACGGAAAATCTGAAGACTTTGGCTATAGTGATGAACAGTTGAACGAAGATTTTATAGATTTTGTGAGTTATCACTCCTCGATCGTGTTGTATTGTATTTGTTTCAATTAAATGTCACTAGGTGATGAATCAGAAGCTAAGAGAGGAACATGTGAGCCGTTTTGAATAATAATGAATAGTTTTGACACCAAAAATCCTAAAGTTGAAAAATCTGGATTTAGAACACCCTATAACTATGCAATCATTCTCGTAGACCCCAAGTGTGATATATATTGATGAAATCAGCTCTTCAGGGAGAATCTAAAATTGCGAAAATAAACAGGGTAATCATTAAAAAACTGCTGACTGCGTCATATTTACAACAATGCAGTTGCTGTTTTTTACATGAAGATAAATACGATAATACATAGTGAGGTTCCTGAAATAAAAGTTAACAATAAATTTCCCAGTTATTTCAAAAATGAAACCATTAGAACGATCAAACAAAAGCAATCATATCACACAAAATATAAAATATATAATGACATTAACTACTACAATTTATTTAAATTATTTAGAAAGAGGTCCAAAGAACTGATACATCGGGACTACAGTGACTACATAAATAGTATCGAGTCAGAAATCCCGGAAACAAAAAAGAGTTTTTGGAAATATATTTCCAACAAAAAAAAAGAGTCAGTCAGCTATTCCCAATAATGTTGTGCATAATGACGAGAGCGCCGATAATGGTGTTGATATATGTAATCTTTTCGCCAACTTTTTTGAGAGTGTATACGTGAAGTCCAAAAATATGACAAAGCATTTTTCCAGGAATAAGAATGAACTATTGGTCACTGAAACCCAAATAAAAGACTTGATTATTTCTCTCGACATCAAGAAATGTCCAGGAACAGACAAAATACCACAAATTTTTGTAAAAAAGTGTGTGAATACTCTATGTAAACCACTAACTATCCTTTTCAACTTGTCTACCTCAACTACGTTCCCCGAAATTTGGAAAACAACACATGTAGTTCCCATTTATAAGAGTGGAGACAAATGCAATATTGAAAACTATACCCATTAGCAAACTGTCAATTTTTGCCAAGCTTCTCGAAAAAGTAATATACGAGCAAATCCTGTATGTAGTAAAGAATTCTGTCATCACAGAACAACATGGTTTTTTTCCAAAGCGCTCAATTGAAAGCAATCTGATGATATATACAGATTTTATCGGTAAATGTATGGACTCTGGTACACAGGTTGATTCAGTCTACACCGATTTCAGCAAAGCCTTCGACAAAATTGATAATGGCATTCTAATGGACAAACTTGCTGATATCGGTTTAGGTGATGATATTTCAAAATGGATATGGTCCTACATAACGGGTCGATCACAGATAGTGACGGTGGATGGGTTCAGGTCTCGGCCATACCAGAGTACTTCTGGTGTACCTCAAGGAAGTCATTTGGGTCCATTACTATTTATAATTTATATTAATGACATCATTAAATGCTTTTAGCACTCTCAAATATTGCTATATGCTGATGATTTGAAGATATTTGCTGAGATAAAGAACCCAAATGACTGCGCTGCAGTCCAGAATGACCTGAATCTGTTTACACAATACTGTGATCAAAATAGTCTATTTCTGAATTTGAAAAAATGCTTTTCGATCTCATTTTCTAATAATAAGACCAAATATAATCATGTATACAAACTCAAACAAAATGACATCACAAAGGTTAACGAAATTAAAGATCTGGGAGTTATAGTAGACGAAAAACTAACATTTAATTCTCATGTAGATAAAATCGCAAACGATGCAAGCAAAATGCTCGGTTTTATTATAAGGAATAGTAAAAGCTTCAAGAATCCTAAAACAATCATATCCTTATATTACGCATTTATCCATAGTAAACTTAGCTTTGCATCGATTGTATGGAACCCGTTGTATGCGGTGAATATTAATAGGCTCGAAAGAATTCAGAATAGATTCTTGAGATATTTAACATATAAAAATAACACTCCCATTGAAAACAGCAACTACACCATTATAAGGAACAAATTCAACATTTTAAGGTTGGTAGATAGAAGAATTGTTAGCGATCTTGTCTTTATATCTAAAGTTGTTATCAATGAAATTGATTCTCCTGAACTGTTATCGAAACTGAATTTCAATGTTCCATCAAGACCTCTTTGTAATTTTGACTTTTTCAACTTGCCATATCGTAGAACTAATATAGGAAATAATTCTCCTATTATCAGGTGTCAGAAGGAATTTAACATGTACTGCAGTAGCTCGAATTTATTTGATAAGTCTGTGGTAGCAATAAAAAGAGATATCAAGAGAATATTCAGTAATTCCTAACACAATTTTTAAGTGTATTTAGTCTTTTTAAAATTGAATTTATGCTCATAACTGATGTTTCTGATAATTTTTATTTGTTATATTTGCTATATTGTATATTGTTTATATTATTATCAACGTTTAACTCACGTTTATAATAATTGTGGATGCTGTTTTGGACTTTGTCTGTTTGTATCCTAAAGTTGTTAAATAAATAAATATGATAGCTACCAAAAATTAACATTGGCAACTTTGTAGAACAGAAAAAAATATCAAAGGCTTGATACACATATAATATGCTCAACCAAAATCATTGAAATTTTCATTGTAGAATTTTTTTCAAGAAAGTCACATTTTCATAACACGAGGAGTGATAACTCACGAAGTCTACAAAATCTTTGTTTAACTGTAGCTCACTATACTCAAAGTCTCTATGTTCTCGATACGCTAACAAAAAACATTTCCCAAATGATTTTTCATCAAAACCAATCACAGAATCATTTTTAATATCTCCACAAAACACGTGTTCGCTCCCAAACCGTTTTTGTCTTTTTTCTATAATATGAGTAGAAAGCATGCATTCTTCCATAGGCGACTGAATTTTACAGAGACTGCATTTAACATAGTGACGACAATGGCATTTCATCTTTTCTATTGGTCGATAGAAATCCGCCATGTTTAGGCAAAATCCAAGGCAAATTTGAATGAATTGAACTTTGTGTTGAAAATAGTATTGTTTTTCTGTGGTTTTCCTGTTTTTTCTCATGCAGTATTATTTTCCATTCGATCAAATATTTCTGCAGAACATAATATTGGCGAATTGAAAAATATTTTCAATTATCATAATGATGATGATGTGTAATTAGAAAACTGCATCCGCCATGTTTAGGCAAAATCCGAGGCTTTGCATGATTTGAATCTTGTGTCGGAAATAGCAGTGTTTCTCTGCCGTTTCGTTGTATTTTCTCATACAATATTATTTTTCATTCAATCAAATATTTGTGCAGAACATAATGGTTAGGAAATATTTTTGGCATGAAATAATTATGGCTGTACTTGTCAGAATGAATCACTCATTTATAATAAATGCTTTTTTGCTTCGTGAACGTAAAGTAATCTAGCAAAATACCACTTTGTTCTGAATATATTCTCATAATTCTGTATTTCACTGAAATATATATTTTTTTCTGTGGAAAAAAAGTTTGGCATTTCATCTCTGTTGGCAGGTTATAAAATGTCCCTTTTCGTAAATTACTTTTTTCCCGTGGGAAGAAAGTGAGTACTTTTTTCCCGGATATATATCACATTTATATACACTGTTGATTGCTTTTGTTGTGCTATAGTTCCGAAAAATGAGTCATTAATACCGTCTCCGAGAAAGAACTGCAAGTCCTTTTATCTTCCATTCGGCTTCGTGATTACGTATATTACTAAACAACCACTAAAGTCGCAATTTTTTGAAATCAAATCACAGAATTAGACTGACAGAAGTGACATCAGATATTTGATTACTTCAAAAAAATGATAAAGATGCCTACAACGCAGGTGTCCCTACTGTTAAAAACTTAAAATTTCACATCGATAATTTTCAGATTTCAAAATAATGTACGGGAGACAACACAACCTGGAGCTAAAATCTACTACTTTTTTCCCTTGTATAATAAATTACTATATGTATATTTCCATGGTATCACGTTAATATATTCAAAGTATTGAATAACCAATTAATTCAGCTTCTATATGAAGTGTCAAACATTTTTTCATACCTCAAGTTCATTGATATATACAGGGTGATTCAAAATTTGATGTACATATTTTTAAGGCGTATTGTTGGGAACAAAATAAGACTTTTTCTTCATATAAACTGTGTCCTAAAATGCACCCTCTCTGAACTACAGCCACTGTGAGTTGGGTAAAATGAAAGATTATCTTAAATTGTGATTATAATAACAAATCAAGTGCAAGTATTCCAGTACTGCAAGCCTCTGAAATAGCAGTCTCAAATGCGTTCCTACATACGATCACCTTCGTATGCAAGCGTTCAACCCATTGCGTTCGAAAACGATGACATGACTTCTCCTTTCGTTGATTACGATTTTCTGGCAAACGGTTAGTTGAGTGAAAAAATGCTAGAGACCGAATTCCTACATTTTTTATGGCCCACAAGATCATGCTGACCAAAGTCGGAGTTTCTCTTTTCAAACATAAAAACAATAAAAGTGCGGACCCGCCTCCAACTCCTCGAAAACTGGGTTGGAGGTATGGATTTTCAGAAGATTTGGTCCGTAATTTTAGACACAATTTAAGATAATCTTGTTTTTTTAACTAACTAACAGTGGCTGTAGATCGAAGGGGGTGCATTTTAGGACACATGTGTAAATGAAGAAAAAGTTTCAATTTCATCCCAACAATATGTTCTTAAAATATTCACATCGAATTTTGAATCACCCTGTATAATACAGATTTCCACGTTTTGCGTACAAAACTACAGCAATCACTATCAAGGTTTCTATGATTATTGTTTATCCACGACTGTTGTGTAAAATATTCATAATACACGTACTTCCTCAAGCAAAACGGTAGCCATTTTTCACACCAGTGAATAATAGCAGTTACTAACCACAATTCACTGGTCTAGAGTTCCTAGGGTACGCAATATAACATATAAGGAACTTTAGACCAGTGAATAATGGTTATTCACCGCTATCATTCACTGGTGTGGCTATCGTTTTGCTCCACAATCGTGGAGAAATAATAAATATAACAGATATCTTCAGTTTTCAGTTTTCTTGAGTCAAATGAGTTATGATGATAAAACAGTAGTTGTTCAAAATAAATCTATATATACAAAGACTATAGTAGTCGTGGACAAAGTATAGTATTCTACTCACATATAATGAGCTATTATTCACTCGGGTTAATTATGCCACTCGCTACGCTCGTGAAATAGACTTAACCTTCGTGAATGACAGCCCTCATTATATACTTTTTGAATAATATAGTATTATTTAATAATTATATCAATTCGAAATTTTCTAATTGAGAAAACAAGTCAAGTTACCTGTGTCAATTTTTGTAACAGTCGCAACAGGGGATACATGAAGTCTTAAACAACATTATGTTTCTTCATTATTTCAAATTTTTTGGGATTTTCTCTCCTCGTTTCTATAAAATAAAAATATGAATATTATTTCAATATACGTGTAGTAAGGACAAATCAGATGATTTGCCCTAAAATGTCACTGCGTTCATAGAATGTTTCTATCAGAGAGCCTAAAAGAAAAATTCACTAGCTTGTCAGTGACAATCTGTATTGAAAAAAGTTTGGAGAAGAGAAATAAAGGTATATAGAAAAAATATAAAATTTTTATTTATCTTTGGACGTTTCGGGACCGAATCGTCTCCCGTTTTCAACATAAAAAATGATTATTTGAATAGCAAATTCCTATCTGTCTTCAAAATTTTCAGTTTTCAGGGACAATTGATGAAGTTGGCAATCAAATGAGTTACAGGATGTTTTCAATTATTGATCTTGAATTTACTTTAAAAATACTTTATATTCAACATAATCCTTCTCTAATTTTTTCATTTTTATTTTATTTTTTTCAGAGGAGAGCGTTGGTTGCAGAAAATACCGTTCTGAAACTGAAAGAAGAGGTCAAATCTCTGTCAGTAAGTACCATTCATGAAACTATTCTCATATTATTCTGGAAGTAAATTATTTTCTCAAAAAGATGATGATTTTTCACATTTTATCATAATTCACCAAGAAGTTTATGCTGACCAATAAGCTTATAACACAGCTTCACAATTTGAATTTGTGAAAATTGAAAATCGAGTAAAAAATCTTATGATGTACAATTTGTCCTGTTCTCGATGCTTTTGCGAGTGTCACGTTACAGCCTTACTTTTTTGTGAAACGAATAAACCGCGAACAGAATATTCACAGTTCTTCATGTTTTTGAGATATAGGGCGAAGTTGAAAATTGAGCACCTCCTGATCATGGTGTCTTTTCAACTCATCGGCAGGATGAGAACGGGGCCTTATATAACTTCCTACGTATAATACAGTGGCGTACTCATTTTTTTCGAAAAGACAGAAAAAACATTTTTTTCAAAACAAAATTATAACTATTTTATATTTTTGATGAGCTATACGAAATCTGAATCGAACTTGATAGGAATACACAGGGTGTCTCATATGAAAACAATGCTTTATTTCGTAATAATGAGCGTTTACAGTAATAAAATGAGTACGCCACTGTATTATACGTAGAAAGTTATACAGGGTGCTTCAATAAAACCTGACCCCTTTGCTAGGGTTCGTGGAACACTGCAAAATGAGTCGGGTTTGCTCAGTAATAAAATGTCGTAACGGCATCTGTTCTCAAGATACAAGGTGTTGAAAAATTTTCTTCTTGACACATTTTTTACGATTATGTCGAAACTAATGCAACATTGTAATGAAATTTGATATGGATGTATTTTTTAAGCTGATACATCGCATGAATTCGTTTTTAAATGTGACTTTCATAGAGGGCGCTAGTTACACGATTCGTACTGAGTAGTTTTAAACATAACTTTTTTGAGGTTAGATTTTTCAATCCAAATTTAAGGTGAACTTGAACATCATTGAATTCAACATAAAAAAAGGTAGCTTTGATAAAACTCAATACTGTGTACCGTTTTCGCAATATTTTGATTTGATAATAATGGAGTAATAGCTTATTCAGATCCGAAAACAATAACATTATTCTTGTGCTGAAGTTATTGATTGAAAAAAGAATCACAAGTAAAAAAGAGAAATTTAACCAAAAACATATTGAATCACTTGAAGTAAGTGTTCAAAAATTTCCTCTGTTTCCATGAATACACGATTCAAATTTTTCTTCTCAAGAATGCATTTTTTTCTAAACAGTTGCGGATCAGCTATTAGGCCATTCAAGTGATGTTCAATTCTGTCTTGCAATTCTTGACGTGAAAGTACCTCTGTAGCATAGACTTTCTTCTTGAGATAAAATGAAACTGTGTAACTATGTTTTAAATTAGATATAAAAACAGATTCATGCGATGTGTCTGCTTCCAAAAAACATCCATACAAAATTTCATTACAATGTTGCCAGTAGTTTTGACATAATCGTTAAAATTGTGTCAACAAATAATTTTTTCACTAACTTATATCTTGAAAACGGTTGCCGTTACGACATTTTTTCTGAGCCAACCCAACTTATTTTGCAGTGTTCTACCTACCCTATCAAGGGGGTCAGGTTTTTTTGAAATACCCTGTATAATGCCCCGTTCTCATTCTGTCGATAAGTTAAAAAGTAACCCAAGATACGGGAGGTGCTCAAGAAGTGCGAAATTTCAAATTTGCCCTGTATCTCAAAAACATTTTGTTTGCGGCATTATTCGTTTTACAAAAAAGTAAGGCAATAACATAAAACCGCAACACTCTATCTCCAAAGATAACTGATATATCGCAGAAAAGCATATATAGTGCAATAAACATATTATTTTTACTTTCTGTAATTTATTTCTTCAATAATTCAATACATTCTCAAATGGTGTTGCGATTCAAATAAAATACACGCTGTATATACACTATACAGAGTGCCCATCAAGGATCGTAGACTTGAGGATCCTGATTATAGTTATAGTATAATTTCGAATATACGTGGATATACATAGAGTAACTCCGCCAATCAGGAAATCAGGAATTGAGAATTATTTCCATAGTAACCAATTTATATTTTCACCTCGATTTTTACATACAAAGCGCGTCGTTAAATGTTAACGTTCGTTCAGAACTACGAAAATATTATCGTCCGATATCAGTTTTTGCCGTATAACTCCGTTTCTGTAGGTTTAAGAGAGAAATAAGTTCTATTGAAAAATGAAGATATTGATATTTGCTGCAAGAAGACTCTTATACAATGTTGTCGATGAAATTATAGTTTCCGAGTTACAGGGCTGAGAAATTGGGGAAAATTCAGAATTTGCATAAAAAACTAGTTTTGTTGGATCTTTTCACATCATCTATGAATTAACAGGTTCGTGGTATGTTTCAATAGTTAATCTGCAAATAAATTACTTGAATATTATTTTGATTTTTTTTAATTACCCCCTATTTTTCAGAGAAATATGCATACTGTATAGGTATATTTATAGGTATTTGAGGAATATTCAATAAAAATTGTTCTTATCCATCATTCGGTTGCCCCCTTACAACCCTCAGAAGTCTTCAAGAGACTTGTGTGAGCAAGGAATGACGGAGGTCTTACCTTTCAACGTGTAATCCCAGACACTTTCTTAGGCCATCAGAAACATTTCTGCGGTCGTGGTGGAAATCTAACCCACCTACAGTCAATCCAACGAGGATAGAATACTGACACTTAAACCACAAGGCTACGCTGGCCACACAATATTTGGAATATATTCTTCTTTATAGAATATTTAGAGAATTTTCAATACTGTGTATACGGGGTGTTAGAAGGGAGGTATTTTTCAACAGGATATATTAATATGAACCATTTCTTTCAAATTCGACTCTTTGAAAGTTTCAAAATATCTGAGGTTATTTCTTTGAACATTTCATCAATTGTTATCATGGATCTGTCGTTATCGCTATTGGTCTGATCCACTAGGCTAGGGCGAAGCTTGTTTGTCTTTAGCGGCTAGGATGTCTAGCCATTCCAAGGACGATGTGCTCCACACCAACAGCAGCGATGGAAATCCTCCTAAACCTTTATTCCTATTCACATCATACTGGAGGAATAAGTGACCAGCATGGTTTCCTTAGGATTCTTGTATTTGGAAAAACAAAATGAGGGGTCAATCCAATCCCCAGAAACCGATTATGTAACGTACATAGATGATTCGAAAACACCGGATGGAGTTGGAACACTAAACCGAATAAAGTCAATCTCGGAAAGTATGCTAAAATATTTCAGGCGGAAATTTACGATATTAAATTATGTGCAAGATAATTGACTAAAATACCTCTATTTGTTGAAAATATCAGAAAGCCAGGCTATATTCTCAAAGCACTGAGCTCTAGCAAGATAAACTCGAAGATTGTATGAAACTGCACTGAATCCCTATAGTGTCTTGGTACTAACACTAAGAGTTACTTTCCTATGGGGGCCTATACACCATAGGGAGAGAGGCAACAAGAGAACCGGCTTCATCGTCGAATGGGGAATCAAATCAGTGTTAATAGAATCAGAACCATACTTTGGTGTCACCACAAGTGCTGCCAAATAATTACTTCAGATTGGGAGGCACGTATATTGCTCTGATCTACCGAGATTTCCACATTCGAAGGCGTTTCTACAAACTTTCGAAAAACACAACTAAGCACATCCTAGATCGAATGGAGTAGGAATAACCTGCGGATTCTGGCAGGACTACTTACAAGACACTGTCGTCTCAGATACCACCTAGGAAGAATCTGCGTTAGAACTAACCAAAGGACTGTGGGTTCTGCTGTATGAAAGGCAAAACAGCTCAACACATTATATTCATTCTCTAGTTTACACAGACTATATTCAACACATTTGGTATCATCTCGAGATTCACCAATTCAGAACTTACCAATTACAAGCAAATCTCACCTCATTCGGCCATGGACTTGTTGGAAGAAATTTTATTATGCAGTGAACAAACTGTTGTGTCTTCTAGGGGTGAGCCACAATAGACCCATTTGGAGTCACGTTGGGGGTGGTATTTGCTTCACTCACATGGCATACCCTATAAATAAAGTTTGGATAACCAACAAAAGTACTGAATCTAGTACTAAAATGGCAACGCTGAGTATTTATGAAACTGTATGGTGAGGACATTTGAAAAAAACTCCATCGTGCGACATACCACAAACATGATAATGGGCGAGTGGACTGAAAATGAATTATTGGCATTCAAGTACTGCACTGTGTCGCTAGGAACCTAAATTGATTTTTGCAACACCTCTCACGCTCAGAGCTCATTTCAAACGCCATTTGACGATACGTCGAATACATTGTGACGTCAGTTTTTATTCTGTTTCGTGGATGGTCAGATAATTTTCCATTTTCACTCACGAACCAAGGTTGTCAAGTCACCAAATATAATCAAGTCCTGTCGTTAGATAAAACATAATTGGAGCAACCCATGATGTGATAGTTCCTTCTTGACTTTTTAGAGCAACCATCATGTCCAAATATTTCTTATTTTCCATAACAACAAATCATATGAATGTTAGACTTGGCAACATTGTGCCGAATGCTGTGAAATGACAAGACCACGCCCCCAAGTCGTGCGCCGTGGTTGTCACGTCCACCGATTCAAATGTCCTCTATATTGTGAATTAATATAATTATTATTCACACAAATTTATTTAAGCAATAAGCCACAAATGATGAGGGAACATTTTGAGACAATTGAATTTTTATTTGCTAATTAGAAGTATTACCAATACTCAACTGAGAATTTATGAATTATCGAATAACTAATATTTCTGAAATTCCCAATCGTATTTCAACACATGGCAACTGTCCTATGGCCTGCCCCTACTTACGAAATCGTGGCGTCCGTTTTCACTGGCAGTAAATTTCTATCCGTTTGAAAATTATCGTGGCATTATTGATGATTTTAGCACCTAAAAATCGATCAATTTTTTTTTATAGATGAAATTGAAAGGTATTTGAGTGATGATTCAATATACGGAATGAAAAAAACAGTCTATTCTCCTATTCCTAGATGGTGTGAAGAAATCAAAGGAAAACAGTATTTTTATGAGACTTCTAAATTATCGCCTACTTCTCAGCATGGAACTCAGAAACTATAATTTCAATGACAATTTATCTCATGTATAAAAAAATCCCATAAGCCGCTGTCATTTTGTCATTATGACAGCGAAAAAACGGCCTTAAGTTTTCCAGCGACAAAACGAAACGTAACATTTGAAACCATGATGAACCAGAATTGTGAACGAATATTTGGTGGCGTTTATGTCAGTCTTGGGCTATCAGAATAGTAAGTATCCAAACTGTAAAAATGTCGCGATTTGGAGTGAAAAAATTGAAGAAACCATCAACAATAATGTGATTTATGAATTCATTAAATTTTCTTACCGAAATACACTCAAGCATTTTTGAGTTGGAATAAACTTAATATTATGTGGCCCTTATGAAATTTAACTCATAAAACTGGCAGAAAAAATTACTCTTTCTGCGGACTCGCTATTTTTTCAAATGCAATATTTTCGGTTTCATTTCCAGGCAACAAAATTCTCATTTAAATGTCAAGTTTACTTCGACAAAAAAGCTCTTGTGTAATTATAAGTGAAACAATTGTGTAGAAGTTTCCTTGTAGCCAATTTCGATCTCCATTTTTTAATTAGAAACTTTCTCTCTAAAACCTGCAGGCGCCAAAAACTCATTTCGGGTGCCATTTTTCCAAGAAGGCGGCTCGAGGGGCAGTCGCTCGACGTCACAAACATAGGGTTATAATCAGGAACACCAAGTCTACGATCCTGTCAAGTTTCGTCTCTTCATAACCTTTTACATGGAAACTCGTCAGATAAACAAAAGAACATATCTTAAACTCTTAGAGTATTACATCAACTATTTCAAATACTGTCCGTTGAAGTCAGAGCAAATCAGATGATGAGTCGCAAAATATTTCTGCATCTAAAATATCACTATCGGAAAACCTGAAAGCGGAATTTGATTGATAATTAGTGATACGTTGTTTGATAAATATTTGAAGAAGATGAATCGAAAAAGGTTGAATTTTTACTACAAATATAATGCTACTAACATTTTTGCTCAAAAGAAACGAGGGGAGGAGATTCCAAAAATTATAGAGAAATGTTTTACGATGGTATGTCGCTCAGTATTGATAACATTGCCATTGGCAATGCCTTATCGACTCATAGTTTTGAATCAATACCATGAGCGAAGTCAGAAACCGAAAAATATTTACATGAAAAATAGTATCGCAAGTTATATTCATCATGACTATTTTATGTTTTAGTTGAAAGGACAATAAATAATTATGTTTAAATCAAAATGATACTAATGGCAGATCGATTTCGATAATTCCCAATTGAAAAATATTTATCATATGTGAAATTGAATGTAAATCTCGATCATTCACTTTTCGGAATTTTTAGAATCGAATTAATTCCTTGAAAGTGGAAAATCAGAGCTTGAAAGGTGATGAGGCTGCAGGAGGCCATGGATTATATGCATCGAATGAATTGCATTCACATAGATTAGCACACGAGCTTCGGGCTGCTGCCAGTACTGCGGAGCATTCGTTAAGGTTAGTAATGATTTTTCAATGAATGAACTCTGCAGGTATTATACCAAGCAAGAAAGCTGAGGGAATTTCGAATTAGGGAATGCTAATTTTCTAATTTTGATACGTGTAGTGACACTTTTCAAAACAGTTTGAAAGGAAATATCAGATAATTTTCTACATCAGTACAGTGAATATGTTGCGGCAATATCGAATTTCTAGAACCGTTTGTCAGATTAATCAAATAATGAAGAAAGTTTGAATATGCTTTTACTGAAAATGTTTCACTCATATTATTCAAGGTTTTCAAGTGCTTACTAACATATTTTTGTTATTTTATCGTTTCCTGCTTCCTTCGGCATTCGAAAAATTCTTGGTACAACGGAACCACTGGTCCACATGACACATGATACTTGCCTTACAGGAATAAATCTGAATAGGTGTTTTCCTTTTTTATCACTTTCTGATTACCAGTACCAGTATATATTGCTACAAATAAGTCTACATGTCAAATGATGATAGAACGCATCATTCTTTAGAAAAAATCACAACTGTCTCTTGAATAAAACAATATAAATGTATATTATTTGCATGATTTTATGTTTTTTTTATGCCTGCTCTTTTCAAGACCAACATACTTATACATAAAAATCAGAAACATTGGTTCCCCCGCAAGATTAACCCGTCGAGTTCAGGCTTTGCACCCCTTCGTGGTCACTTTGGAGACCAGCAGAACATCTCTTTCCAAAGACTCGTTCATCCAACGAACAGCGAGGCTCTGGAACACATTGCCAAGGGAGGTGTTCCCCGAGGCATATAACCTCCACAAATTTGAGAAGAACACCAATTCCTACCTTATTCCCCATGGTTCTCACGATGTTCTCTGAACATTACAGGATATCCCTTTTCGTGGGAACCAGAACATAAAAAAAACCCTGTGGAAAGATATAATGAAAAAACTTTTTCGTCAGGCAACACTTGAAAACCGTATAATTCGATAAAAAGTACGTGATGAATTGTTTTGAACTTTCTTCATAATCTAGCTTTGTTTACATGCCCTTCAATTTATGTCACTTGCCACTGAATCAGCTTTGTATAATATATTTTTAGCTACTAACACTGACCCTTGATTTATAAATTCAATAACGCAACGTAACACAAGGTTTTAGGAATATGAAACAAGATAATCTTCAAAAAATAGAACTATTCCACGAGTATTGGATGTCCTATTGTGTGGACGGTTATTTTATAGATATCTGCTAAGTGAATATTCCCAACATGTCTTCTTTTATCGTCTACTGAATTTGAATCAGGGTGAAGTATCACTGAAGGAACGGCAACAATATTCACGGTACTGTGGCAGATTTGGTCGAATAAATATTATTATACCTAAGTGATAAGGGATAAGGAGACCCTGAAAAACAAAATGGCGGTCATGCCAATTTAGGTGTACTTTACACTAGTGAACAATTATTCAAATTATGCCCTTCATTATAAAATTAGGATTTTCTCAGGAATCGTCCAGTTTGAAATATCATTGGGGATGAAGGTTAAGAAAAAAAGTTTACAAGAAAACCAAATGAAGGGAATACAGTTTTTTGCATCAGTTTTCCGTTTGATAAAATGCCTGTGACATTTGAGAGCTATCCCAAGTAATTGGTGATGAGTATTCCTACTGTATCCTCCAGAGAGACCTGAATAAAACTAAATGACTAACTTCTCTAATTATTATTGCATGATAATAACAAACGATGATCAGATTGAACATTTTGATTTCTCTCACAGCACACTATTGCAGTGACATTTACTACAATTTGAATGAAACATCTCAAAATTTTATGAAAATGTATATTTGTTTTCAACTGAATATTTATTTTATTTCAACTTATCTTGTCCAACAGTCAACGTATCATACATTGTATTCAGAAAAAAAAATCCAAACAGAAATAAAGATGAAAAAACTTTTTAAAAAATTGACAGTCGCTGACCTTACAGTTGAAACGCAAAATATAATGATCCGGGCCTACTCATAGAATCTGAGGAAAAATAAATACAGAGTTCTAACTACTCATTAGTTCTGGAATGTGTTATATCACATTTCTATAATCAAATGATTTCTTTTTTTTGTTAATTCTGCAGTGAATCTGAAAACACTCAATAATTTTAGAACAGTTGAAGATGGATATAGGATTATGAACATGAAATATGTCTAGAATTTTCTGAATAATCCAAAATTTTAATAAAATACAGGGTGTTGTATTTGCACTAAGAAAGTTGGTATTGGCCGATCTTACATAACACTACCTTTATAGGAAGTGTTTGTCAAAAAAATTAATTTCCTAAAATAACAATCGACCTGCATAGCAGTTTCTCTAAATTGTCCTCGATTATTTATTATGCTAAGCAGTAGTTGGCCTCTATAGATAGTTGTCTAAGGTCTTCTACTAGAGTGGTCCAAAGTAGTATTGATAATACTGGACCCTGTGAGTACCTTTATTAATCACCGTCTCTTTTAGTAGCTTCTCCCTGAGTTGTCATGATGACCCTATTTCCTAGACTAGAATGGATACTCTGGATCACAGGGTGTTTCACAATTCAATGCTGATTTTAAAGGGCAATTATCCTTCAACGATTTTAAGAAAAATTATTTTTATAAACATAGTTCTGAAACCGCTTTGTTTCTGAGATACTGGATGTTGAAATTTGACAAAAAATCCGTATTTTCCCAATTTCCCTAAAACCGCTTTGTTCTTGGTTTCCAATTTTGTTACGTGTAAAAATACATTTTTGACAATAAAGGTTTTCTCAATTTCAATCAATGACATTCCTGCTTACAAGCCCTACCGTATTTTTATCAAATAATTAGAAAAATCTTATTATGACGTTCTTTCAGAAAAATATGAATCCAATTTTCTTTCCATATTTTTTATTAGAGTATATACTTCAACACTCAATATTCTACAAAAAATTTAATTTCGTGGTTTCAATGGTTTTTCCAATTATAGTTATGGAATAATTCGTATTATCAAATCGATCATTAAAGAAAAGACAATATTATGATATGTAGATAGTAAATTATCTTAGGTTTTTCATTAATAAATCCAGGTTTAGTCGTAGTTTTATTTATTTATGCCAGTAGAACCATTAAAATACATCATTTGTTTCTTTACTTCCTATTCATAACTCGATCTATCATACAACTACAACTTTCTGTATCCATCAAGCACAGACACACAAGAAACTAACGACATAGACTCATGACAGCTGACATCTCATCAGTGTAGCCACACTTTAGGTAGGATTTTAGGGTATATCTAACAGCCCCCCTCGCTAAAATCCCTTACACCAATAAGAAACTTAAAATGTTGGAATAAATCATAGGACAGTCCCTTAGTTAAAATATCAGCCTGTTGATATTTTGACTCTATATACCTAACATCTACATATCCTTTTTCTATATTATCATATATGAAACAATACTTAATATCTACATGTTTTACCCTTCGATTATTTCCTGGATTGTTCACTAGAGCTATACAACCCTGATTGTCTTCCAAAAATACTATTTTCCCTGTATCGAATTTGAAATCAAGTAAAATCTTTTTAAACCAGAGACCTTCACTAACAGAACTGCTAAGAGCTACTAACTCAGCCTCTGTGGTTGAGAGTGTGACACAATTTTGTTTTCTTGTTAACCAATGTATTGTATTATCAAATATTTTGAAAATGAATCCAGTAACTGATTTCCTATCCTGTAAATTATTGCCCCAATCGGCATCTACATAACAAACAAAATCTAACTTATCTGTTCTTTTATATTCCAACTCCTCATACATGGTGTTTCTCAAATATCTCGTAATTCTCAACAAGTGTTTCCAGATTTCATCTGTGGCCTTATCTTGAAAACTGCTAAAATAATTCAGAGCAAAACTTATATCTGGTCGTGAACCCAACATTAGATACATTAGACAACCCACTAGCTGCCTAAATGGTTTATCTGTTAAATTAACTTTTTACAGATATTTAATTTCAATTTTTGTTCTATTGGTGTGTTCACTCCCTTACAATTCTCCATGCCAAATTTACACAATATTGTCTATATAATTAGTTTGTGATATTTTCAATATTCCTTTTTCTCTGTTATACTCAATTTCCAAACCAAGAAAATGTCTCAAATGCCCTTTGTTCTTTATCTCAAAACGATTCATTAGTTTTGAAATAATTGTATTCAGATAATCCAACTTTGGTCCTGACAATATGATATCATCCACATAGAGTAAGTAGTAGTAGTAGTAGTTTATTTAGCAATATTCTGCTACTCATTTCACAACAATAATACAATATTTAAATCTAATATAATATACATATATACACATACATACACACACATACATACACATATATATACACACACATATATATATATATATACAGGGTCGCTGATATGTATGGAAACAGGTGAATATCTCGGTAACCTGTTGTTGGATTTTTTTGAATTTATGTACTGTGTGATTTCAAAACGTGGCAGATTTGAAAATGTTATAGCCAATGTTGCCACTTTTTCGGTTATACCGGATTTTTTATTAACTTCCTTATTTTGAATAGAACACCCTGTAATTTATTGGATTTTCAGATTCTCCCTGAAGAGCTAATTCCATCGATCTATCACACTTGGGGTCTAGCAGGAATGAATACATAGGTATAGGGTGTTTAAAATCTAGATTTTTCAACTTTAGTATTTTTTTGTGTCGAAACTATTCATTATCGATCAAACCCGCTCCAATGTTCCCATCTTTACTTCTGATTTACTATCTACTGACATTTAATTGAAACAAATACAGGGTGGTTCAAGATTCAGAATTCTGATCACCCTCTGTATCTGTTCCAATTAAATAGTCAGTAGATGGTAAATCAAAAGTGAAGATAGGAACATTGAACCGGTTTTGATCGATAATGGATAGTTTCTACACAAAAAAATCTTGAAGTTGAAAAACCTAGATTTTAAACACCCTATACCTATGTAATCATTCCCGCTCGACCCCAAGTGTGATAGATCGATGGAATCAGCTCTTCAAGGAGAATCTGGAAATCCAATAAAGTACAGGGTGTTTCATTCAAAATAAGGAAGTTACTAAAAATCCGGAATAACTGAAAAAGTGGCAACAGAGGCTATAACATTTTCGAATCCGCCACGTTTTGAAATCACACTGTACATAAATTCAAAAAAATCTAACAACAGATTGCCGAGATATTCACCTGTTTCCATACATATCAGCGACCCTGTATATATACAATGATTACAAAATCCTTATTTCATTCAAACAAATATTTATAAATTATTTCTCATTCCCTAATACTTTTCTTTCACATATTCCACAGCCTTTCTTCTGAACTCATTGAACATATTAATTGATCTTATATACAATGGTAAATTATTATACAGCACTAGTCCATTATAAAATATTGACTGCTTTGTTGATGTCTTCTTCACAGCTACCACATATATATTGGAAGCCGTTCTAGTGTTGTATTTATGAATTTCATTAACAAACTTGATTCTATCTGACATATACCTTGGAAGCATTTTGTGCAATATTTTGTAAATAAATAGAACAACATTAAAGACCAGTCTTTGATTTATACCCATGAAATGTAGGCATTCTAGCATCGCATTTGTTGAGGTATACTTATTTACTTTCAATATAATTCTCATAGCTCTATTCTGTTGTATCAGTAATTCTTTTTTTTTCCCATCGTTACAATAATAAACAATGGTGGGGCAGTATTCCGTAACTCTGGAAAACATCGACAAGCTCTCAGTAATCCTATAAAAGTAATTTATCCTCTTACTAATTTTATCGAGTGTATACCTAATATGTTTATCAAACTTTAACTTGCTATCAATAATTAATCCCAGATATTTACATTCAGAAACATACTCCAGTTCTTCATTGAATAATTCAAGCTTAGTAACTGTTTTTGAGTCTACATTTGTTCCAAATAGCATTACTTTTGTTTTTTTCGTATTCACAAACAAGAAGTTATCTTCTAACCATTTTTCAAATTTTATCAATTCATTTTGCATCGTATTGCATACCTCATCTACTGATTTCCCAGATACTGATATTACCGTATCATCGGCAAATAAGTTGACTGTTGTTTCTTCATCAAAGCAATTCACAATATCATTGATGTATGTGATGAACAAAATTGGGCCGAGTACCGACCCTTGTGGTACTCCAAATTCAACCTTCTGCTTCTGTGACACATAGTTGTTAATTTTCACTTGTTGAGATCTATCATTCAGGTAATCTTCAAACCATTCAAGTGCTTCACACCGTATTCTATACTTTTTAAGTTTTTCAATCATTATTTTTCTGTTGATAGTCTCAAACGCTCTTTTGAAGTCTACAAATACCGATAACACTATTTTATTTTGCTCAATTTGTTCTTTCCACTTAGTAATTACCAACTGAATAGATGTCTCACATGAGTGTTTATCACGAAATCCTGACTGATTCTCTATAAGTATATTATTATCCATTAAATGTGTTAAGAATTGTTTTTTTATATGAATCTCCATTATTTTCTCTGGTAATGGCAAAGTATTTATAGGTCTATATTCTTCACATTTTTTTGAATTAACCACTTTTGGAACTGGGATAACAATTGAGTTTTTCCACCTGCTGGGAATTCTAGCATGTTCTATTGATTTATTTATGATTTTTATGATTTCTTGTTTCAACTTATCTTTACCTGCTCTAATTATGTCCATTTCCATTATATCTGAAGAGCTCTTTTTTTTTATTTCCCTAATAATATTTTCAAAGTCAACATCTTTCATTTTGGTTAATCTACTCAGTGGTATTATATTTTCCTGTAACTCTGCAGCAGTAGTAATGTGTTGGTTTCTATTTCTTCCTACTATATTTTCGATGCTTTCAATAAAGTACATATTAAATTTTTCTGAAATATCCATTATTTTTGTTACATTCTTATTATCAAAATAAATATTTGTGAATGTTTGACTATTTGTTTTCTTATGGCCCATAACTTCTTTGATACCTTTCCACATTTTTTTCCCATTGTTTTTGTAACTATCAATTAAATCTTTGTAGTAGTCATATTTTTTTCTTTTTATCAAATTTGTACATTCGTTTCTTTTCGACCTGTAATCATTCCAGTTATCTGTAGTTTTTTCTATTAAATACTTTTTATATAATTTATCTCTTTCATTCAAGATCTTTTGGGTTACTTCATCAAACCATTTATTATTTTCTCGAACATTTATTATTTTGACAGGCGCTATTTTGTCTAAGGTATTCAAGATATTGTCATAGAGTATCTCTACTAATTGTTCTGTGTCGCCATCTATCCAGTCACATTCACTAAGGACTTTTTCAAAATTTGATTCTTTTATTTTCTTTTTGTTTCTACATTCTATTTGTTTATATTTACTGGTAATACTAATTTTATTTGATTCCTGATTAGTCGTTATTTGTACAATATCATGATCTGAAAATTTTGGTACCCTTTTAACTTCTGTTCTAATAGACTCATCATTAGTAAAAACTGGATCAATTAAAGTTCTAGTATCTTTAGTTATTCTGGTACATTCTGTTACAACTTGTCTAAGGTTGAACCTGTGTAGCTGCCTTACTGCTTTAGATTCATAAAAACTATCTTTATGAAAATCTATGTTCAAATCCCCCATCAAATATATATGTTCATTTCCTAACATTAAGTCATCATCCATGAAATCCCTCATTTGTTCTAAGAAAATTGAAATACTCGAGCTTGGTGACCTATATATAATAATGTATATATCTTTCTTAATTTGTACTATAACAATCCATATGTCCTTTCCAACACTAATATTTTCAACTATTTCATATTGAATATCGTTCCGCACATAACAAACTATAGCTCCTGTATGTCTACTTATTGAGTTACACCTTATTGTTACATATCCATTAATACTTATTTCACTATCTTCTATATCTTTAGTTATACAGGCCTCTGTGAATGCTATAATTTCATTTTTGTTCATTTCTGCTCTTACAAACATCCTAATTTCATCTATTTTTGGTAATAGGCTTTCGATATTCAAACACATGATATTTAGTTGCTACTTTGCATCATTCCTATATAAAGTTTTATCTTTTATTATTTGTTCTACCTTCAGCAGGCATGGACATTTTCTATCCCACACAGTATGTTCAATGTCTAGTGATGTGTTGTACTTAGTATTTGCTCGTATACAATTTAAACATTTTTGTTGTTCTTCCTTACAATTTTTCTGCTCATGAGGACCACTACATTTTGGACATGCTAACCCTAACGTACAGTCCTTAGCTATATGATTAAATCCTGAACATTTGAAACATTTTTTTACACTTGAGAATTCATATATAGAGCACTCATATAAACTAATATTCACTCTACCTTTATTTATTAGTTGATTGTATGTGTTCATATCAACTTCTATCAACATATTGTATTTATTATTATTCTCTTTAGATATATGTATAATGTTCAACATGAATTCTTCATCTACCTTATTCAGACCATTTTGTACTATTAACTTTTCCTTCAAATCCTCCTCATCCTTTTCTATATGCTTTGGTATATTTACAATTTTTAGTTTTGGTATAATTTTTTTAGGCTCTGATACTACATATCCTGCTCCTAGTGACTTTTGTACTTCTTCTTTCATATCCTTACTATTTTTACCATTACATTCCAATACAACTCCTCCATCTTTCAAGCTTCTACCCATACACAATAGGATTCATTTTTTTAATCACATCTTTCTTTACCTCATCATGATCAGTTTTTTCTGCTGGTTTCACTATCAATACCTCTTTTTTCCCGTTACTGCTCGACTGTAACTCACAATTTGTTCACTATTCTGGACATCTTGTTTTCTTAAAACATCTTTCATAAAATTTGCTATTTCTTCCATTCCACTTTTCATTGTTTCGAAAGCATCGAGCATTAGTGACATTCTGCTCATTACATTCTTGCATTTTCTACATACTACCATCAGAGTTCTCTTCTTCAACGGAATACACCTTTGTTCTGTTGTAGATAAATCCAGGCACTTCGAATGCATGAAACCTTTACATATATCGCATATATTGTAGGTTTCATCCGTATTTATGAATTCTTCACATATTTTACAGTCGCTTTCCATTTTTAGAAAATCTGATAATATTTACACAATTTGGCAACACACAATATCTAGTGGTGTGTTCCCGCGTGTTGATTTCTTCTGTTTACTTCAGCTAACTGCGGTTTTAGGTGTTACCTTCATTCACACGCGAAGATAGTGCACTATTTCACAAGTACATTTGAACAAAGTAATAATTTTCTGCTTATATCTGCCAAAATTTCACCTTTGTTTTCCATAAATTTGTCAACAATCCACACAACGTTGCCACGATCTCGCATCATTATACACTCTACCTGCATTTGAATCCATGTAGTACAAACAAAAATCATTTTCAGATCTTTCAAATCCTATGTTTAACAAAAATACATTTATCTCATCATTCCAACACCTTGATGATTCTTTTAAACCATAAAGAGGTTTTTTCAATTTCAATATTTTCCCTGGATATGCTTCCATTCCTTTTGGGAAATTTATATAAACAGGTGACTTCAATATTCCATTTAAAAATTGCAAAAAGTAGTATGATAACTAATTACCTACACTCAACAGTATTCTTATAGTTGACATCTTTGCTACTGGTGAATAAATGTTATTATAATCCACATTTTTCTGAGCAAATCCTCTTACTACTATTCGAGCCTTGAATTTATCACTTTCTTTTTCTTCCAATGGTTTCTTTGAAAATACCCATTTTGTATCAAGAATATCACTAATTCCCATACCCTCAACAATTTCCCACGTTTCTTTCCTATGAATTGAATCTAACTCTCTCTCCACAGCGGATAACCAAAAATCTTTATATTTATTATGTTTAATTTCTTCAAAATCAGTAGGTATATCTTCAACATAATTCACAGCATTATATGCCATATACAACTCATAATCTTTAAACCTATCTGGTACTTTTATATCCCTACGTCTCCTGTCTCTTATTTCTATTTCATTGTTTACTTCCCTATTTTCCATAGTTTCATTATTTACTTCCCTATTTTCTATAGTTTCATTATTTACTTCCCTATTTTCTATATTTTCACTATTTTCTTCCATTGGTTTTTCATTAATTTCTTCCAATTTATTTTCCTTAATCATTTGAATTTCTGTATCATTTTCAGATATATCAATTTCTACATTATTTCTTTTAAAATGATAATCATTTTCATCAAACCTCACATCCCTTGCAACTATCATTTTTTTTTCATTAAAATCCCATAGTTTATACCCATTTACAAGGTACCCAATCATGATGGATTTTGCTGCCTTCTGATCAAACTTCCCTCTTTTTTATTTTGGTATGTGATATTATGCAGTACAGCCAAAAACTCGCAAGTTACTAACATTTGGTTTTTTGTTATACCTAAGTTCGGCTGGTGTTAATTCACCATCCAGTGCATGTGATGGACTTCTATTTAAAACATATGCAGCAGTCTGTACAGCTTCCCCCCAAAAGGTATTCTATAAACCTGCATCTTTCAACATTGAACGTCCTCGTTCAACCAATGTTCTATTCATTCTCTCGGCCTTTCCATTGTGTTCTGGAGTATAGGGAATGGTATAATCTAATCTGACACCATTTTCTCTACAAAACATTTTGAAATCATTGGAGATGTACTCTCACCCATTATCACACCTCACTTTAGATATCTGTGAATTAAACATTGCTTTCGTCATGTGAAAATATTCTTTAAATATATTGATCACTTCATTCTTTTGTTTAATTAAATAAACCACGGTAAAATTTGAAAAAACAAAACAAAATCCCATTTCACCTGAAATGGGATTTTGTTTTGGAGTGTTTCTTTCCTTGCCAGGTGGCGTTCGGCGCTCGCGTTTTCATTTCGCAGACGTCGAACGCCTCGTATGGTATAAATGCTGAGATGCGTTTACGTTGGGTCAGGTTCGCACCAGATAGCGGTCAAGAAGCTATCTGGGACAGCCCTGTACTGATGAGAGCCAAGAGCTCGAAACCGGTCTGCAGGTAGTCAGCGTTCCTGAACCACTTAAGCGCAGCTCAGCGTTTAGGAAGGAAACACTTGCGATTTTATTCGTTTATACGAACTATCGCATAGGTTTCGGGAGGATGTAATGCAATGTTCTGCGTGGCATATAGCCAGGAAAGTAGTTGTTTTTCTCTCGTTATCTACCATTGTCGTTCATTTTATGAACTAGTTGTGGTAATGACTTTGAGTTTCTCTCTTTGTGAAAAATCATCAATGAATGTTAAGAAATAATTATATCCATTATTAGTTCTTGGATTTATTGGACCATACACATCTGTGTGAACTACTTCCAAGACTCTCCTACTTCTTGTACTATTTCCAAAGGGCAACCGAGACATCTTTCCAGAAACACATGGTTCACAAAAATCTACTTTCAGTGTAGGTATTCTTTTGTCAATTCCTTCTACAAAATTTCCTTTTATTAACTTTTCCAAACTATTAAAATTTATATGACCAAATCTTTTGTGCCATTTCATGAATTCATTGTGGCTTGTTACATTCAAACATTCTGATTCACTGACATTGAAAGTTATTTCATATAAATTTTGCCGTTTACCTAATCCTATCAGAATTTTATGTTTGTTATAGAGTTTTACTTGACCATTCTCAAATACTACACTTATACCTGATTCTTCTAATCTCTTCACTGAAAGTAGATTTCGTCTCAAATTTGGAACATAAAACACGTTCTTTATCAAACACTCAATATTTGTATTATTAACAAAACTAAATGCTTCTATATTTCCCACTGCTATTCCTGTCAGGAAATTATTATTCTTAGCAACTGCTATTTGTATTGGATAGTCCAAAGTTATTGATTCAGAAAATACATTTTTATCATTAACTAAATGATCTGTACAACCAGAATCTATAAAAAATGTCAAATTATCCAAATCTTCAACATCTCCAGTCAAATTTACCTCAGTATTGAAACAAATTCTGTTCTCATTAAGATCTTGATTATTATTATCATTAGAATTTGTAGTATCTTCTTCGCTTTGTACATAATTTGTATTATGTTGCCAACTCCTACCTGTGTTTTGGCCTCCACCTCTATATTGATACCTTCCTCTTATCTGACCTCTAAAATTTCCATAGCCTCTGGAAAACTTCCTCTAGGAAGTCCTCTGGAAAAACTTGTATGAGCACCTGCTCTAGACGGGACAGTTTGACTTCCACCTCTGGAAAAACTGGTTTGAGTTCCTCCTCTTGAGAAACCACCTCTAAAACCTCTTCCAGAGAAACCATAACTCTGTTGCATTCTTCTGTTCTCATTCGAGCAATCTTGTCGAATGTGTCCCTTCTTTCCACATCCATAGCATACCTTTTCAGATACAAATGCTGTTGCTATATAGGTTTTATCAGATTGGCTTCTATCTCCTATTCTTCTCTTCTCATATTCTGCCATTAGTTTTGTTTTGATATAATCATATTTCAGTTCATTTGATGGCAAATTTTCAATCACTGTAACTACAGTTTCGTAGGACTTGGGTAATGTCATCAAAAGGTTACATATGATATCCTTTTCATCAATTTTCACACCTGTAGCTTTCAATTGGCGAAATATTTCCTCAAATTCCATAATGAATTTCTCCAAGCATTCTCCTTCCTTCAATCTCATTGATAACATTTTCCTTTTCAAAAACAATTGTCCTAGTAGGCCCTTCTTCTCAAACTTTTCTTCTAGGGTTTTCCACATATCATATGCTCTTTCTTTATCTCGTAGACATTCCAGTTGGGTGTCTGAGACACACTGGACAATCAACGATTTCGTTCGATTATCATTCTTCTCGAATATACTCCTGTTTTCTGCAGTCATAACAGAGGTGTCCATATCATTCTGAGCATATTGTAGGACCCCTTGTTCTGCCAATGCTAATTCCATCCTAAATTTCCAATTGTGATGATTTTCACCATTAAGCAAATCTACATTGATTGATTTAATTGTATTTTGGGTCATTTTGTACTTGTACCTTTTCCAAATCACGTTTTGATAACCTCTTTGATAACTTTACTTTTTATTTCAACTTTATCCAATTAATCTTCAGACATCCAGCTTACCTGGACCCATAACCTTTTAGGTTTTTCATTAATAAATCCAGGTTTAGTCGTAGTTTTATTTATTTATCCCAGTAGAACCATTAAAATACATCATTTGTTTCTTTACTTTCTATTCATAACTCGATCTATCATACAACTACAATTTTCTGTATCCATCAAGCACAGACACACAAGAAGGTAACGACATAGACTTATGACAGCTGACATCTCATCAGTGTTGCCACACTTTAGGTAGGATTTTAGGGTATATCTAACAAATTAATGTATGTGTTACTAAAGAATAAATGCCTGAAAAACAACTTTATAAAGAGGACATCTCTGAAAATAATGGAAATCATCTTGAAAGCATATTTTGCTGTGACTATTCTTGCATTCAATTACTGTCGTTGATGTCCAAGTTCAGTCTTCTAGGTAATTCATATAAGAATCCATTTTTGCATAATCTCAATGTCAATTATTACTACCTACACATCTTTGGCATTCTTCCAAACCAGATGTTCAAAGTAAGAAATATCAATATATTGTTATACTCATATTTGGTATCAGAGCAAAAACTATTATTATAATTGAAATATCATCTCCGATAACTTCCATATCGGTCAATATGTTATTTATTAAACAATGTTGAATTAGTGTACCTTTCATACTATTCAATCACTATCACATCAAAAATTCTGATCGTTGATATCCCGGGAATTTTCCTAAATAGGTCGGTTGGTTTTGTTATCTGTTCAATTTCTCTTGTGTATCAGTACCTAGTTTATCAAGTTGCTGTGAAACCATTATCCTATTCCTGTGAATGATCTGGTTAGGCGCAGTTCTATAACTCTGTGTGCTACATTTGTACTTCCTTTTTTTCAGAGCATATAAAAAATAATGAGCTCAATGGATCATTTGGCCAGTCAAGTTCTCAATAAAATTAAACTATCAGTCTCTGATGAAAACGGAAATACAAGTTGCGTG